GGGCTGAAGAAAAGATGGAGGTCGGAAACAAGATATGCCGGGGTCGAAATCAAGACAAGCGTAGGTAATTCGGGGTCGAAAAAAATAGCAGCCACCGCTTCTTCACCTCAGTATCCAAATTCCGAAGCATCACCATGCACTTGTCTGCCTCGGTCAACCCTAGATCCCCAAACGCTGCTTTGAGTCGCTGGTACTTCGCCAGCACAACCCGCACAGCGAAAGACCTCGAGGGGCCTCACAGAACCCTTATAGGCCAGTGAACTTCAGAATCTCTTCTCCCAGCGAACTGGCTGTCCTGCTACACACTGAGCTCCGAATAAAGACGCCGTGTTGCCTCGTACTGACCCTGCAGATGCCCCAAGCTCCTTCTTTACCTGCTTCAAAACATCAAGACCCCTTGGGTAGACTCACTGGCAACTGCTTGACGGGAGCTCCGGGCCCGATGTTCCCCTCTCCTGATCTGTCGCTTGCGTTTTGCGAGAAACCTATGATGCAACTGCCAGAAGCGGTCGTACGATGACATATCCGATTTCAGCACAGGTACTCCAATGCCTTCTCACCCTTCTTGCGAGCTTTCCGGGCAGCCGCGCCAAGGCTTCTTCCACGGACTCCGTCTTGAAGGAGAAGCGAAGCATGTCCATGTGCACTTCGTATCCACCAAGCGACACTCGGCGCCCTTGTGAATCTGGAACGGCCACAGGGCCTCGATGACCTTCGGGTGCAAGTTTCGAAGTCTTCGGGGCACGTCGTCCTTGTTGGGAGCCTAGTACCCTTGGGCACCATCGGATCGGCAGAACTGGCATTGGGGCAAAGTGTTCTCCGCTCGGTTGGTGCCACGCGCATGTTGCGGCCTGTATTGCTGAGGCACCATGCGGCCGCAACAACTGCACATTCTCCACGACGACGTGGTGCACCAGGTCCTGAACGCCCGAGCTCTTCGGGTCATCCAAGCCTGTTCTGGGCGGGCTTTCGGTCCGTACACGGCCGGAAACTTCTTGGCCAGACGACGAAGCCTATCGCGCTCTGCGTGCAGGTGTCGTGGTGCTTCTTCCTGTCGCAGACAAAGCCCTCGTGCCTCACGCTCTCACCTCTCGACAAACCATTGCGTAGCTCTTGAGGTTTGGGAATGCCCCTGACAACAACAAGTGTTCAGACCTTCCACTGACGTAATTTTGCTTGCATGGCACACTGTGGCACACCATCCTGTGGTTGCCGCTTGGGTGGAATTTTGCATTTTACAGATTTCCTTTTCAACGATTGGATTTTCAGCAACGAAGAATATCCTCAGCCTCCATTGAGCTTTTAAGAGCCAGCCCCGAACGATTTCATGGTCTTTGTGTGTCTTCCATTTTTATGTCTTCGATTCTGTTTTAACCTTATTCTTTTTGTTAGTTTTTCGCTTTGTATGGGTTTGGAGTTGAAGGTTTTACGGTTCAGGTGGCTTCAATGGCGAGAGTTTGCAATAAACAAAAAGCGGAGAGGTTGGGGGGACGCAGCCTTGAGCTTTTAAGAGCGGGTTCCGCTGAACGATTTTATGCGGCCTTGGTGTGAATTTTCATGTTTCTGCTTCTCTTTTATTCGTTTTTGACCCCCTTAAGCGATTTCGTATGGGCGTCTCTTTTTCCTGTAAGAAGGTCCTCCTTCAGGTCTCTTCCTCAGGCCTTTCTTCAAACCAATCCTAGGCCTGTCTTGAAGCCCTCCTGGGTTTGACCTGGGTTTGAACCTGTTAAACCTGGGTGCTTTAAACTTGGGTCCTGGGTTTCAAACCTGGGTTGGGTTTTAGAACCTGGGTTTCAAAAAATCTGGGTTATAACTTGGGTTTAACCCGGGTTCCAAAGCTGGGTTACCTGGGTTTGGAACCTGGGTTTAACCTGGGTTCAAACCTGGGTTTCAACCTGGGTTAAACCTGGATTTTTAAACCCGGGTTCCAAAGCTGGGGAAGAACCTGGGTTTGGAACCTGGGTTTAACCTGGATTTGAACCTGGGTGTTAATCTGGATTAAACCTGGGTTCATTAAACCCGGGTTCCAAACCTGGGTAAGAACCTGGGTTTCAAACCTGGGTTCGGGGTTTAACCCGGAGTTGAACCCAGGTTCGAACCCAGATTAAACCCGGTTCAAACCCAGGTTCACGTTAAACCCAGGTTCCCTGGGTAGTTGGGGGACGGAACCCAGGTTCAAACCCAGGGCCTCAGAGATCGGACTACAAAGACGAAAAAATTCTTCCTCTTGAGTGAAGATTTCAGCGTGTGGCAGTCTGCAGTACTTTCAGTTTCAGCTTCAGCGCCAAGCTTGAAAATGTCTGTGAGATTTTTTCGGTGCCACCAGCAGTCGCATGGTACGATGTTTTGCATGGAGAGTAGGATAGTAACTGCGAGCCTGGTCTGAATAAGTGCTTGTTTTAGAAGCTTCGTTGCTTTTACTACATGTTTTGTTTTCTTTTTCAAAAAAAATCAGCAGCTAAGAAGTTCAATCCTTGGGTGGAACACAGCTCTTTGCCGAAGCCAAAGGTGCCACTCAGTAAGCCTGCTGAGCCCGCCACCCAGTACGATGCTGTAAGGAGAAAACACAGGCTGCCAAGTGGCCTCGGTGACCAGGTCATGTGCCTGCCTGCAGAAAACACGCATCGGTGCCCCTGCTCTGTGACTGTCTGTCTCTGCACCTGCACGAAACCAGGCCCCGTATCGATGAATCGACGGGGTCTGGGCCGGAGCAAGGCAAGGCTGGACAACGTACTTAATCAGCAAACTATTCGGGATCTTCGATCCCTTTTTCGGAAGCACGCACGGCTGGAGGCCGACTCAAAATTGTGGACAAAAAACCAAAAGAAACAACTCTCACTGCTGGGACAGAACAAGGATGCGACTGTAGCCCTGGTTAACCCTAAACCCCAAACTCCCAAACCCCAAAACCCTTAAACCCCTAAACCCTTCAACCTTAAACCCTAGAGCCTCAACCTCAACACGACCCTGTAACTCTGAGGCAGCTATGATGAAGCTGCGAAGGTTAAAGCAGATTGAGCCCAGCGAACATGTCTGCGTTTGTGTTTGTTTGTTTGTATTGTGCGGATCTCAGTGGCTTCCTTTGGCGAGCTAAGCAGCAGTCCTTCGCAACTACTGCGACGAGGACTCCAGGCCGGCGAACGCGTAGCAAGGGCAAACAGGTCAGCAATCTCTCCAAGTCTATCGCCAAAACGGTCAAGAAGGCGACTGCAGGCGGCAAGAGAAACAAGAAGAACGTGTCCAGAACGGCTTCCAGAAGGGGATGGACCAAGCAAAACCTGCAAGAGATGTACAAGACCGTCGGCAAGCACGAGGAGTGGCTGCCAAGTCGGCCTTGTTCAAGTCGGGAGCCTTGCAGGCACTTTTGACGCCCACGATGATCAAGGCGACGAGCAGCGAATCCTACGACTTGGGGGAGAAGTTGAAAGGCCGAGGCAACAAGCTTCTCAGCCTCAGCAAGCAGGGCAAGATCGCCATGCTTCAGGACTATGCGGACTTGGATGACCTGCAGGAGTGCGACGTCTGCGATGATTGGCTGACCCATGCCATGATCTTCGTGTTTCACATCAACAAGAAGACCCCCTTGCCCGGGGTCAAGAATGTCAGGTTCGTCGAGAAACTAAGGAGGCAAGCTAAGTTCAGAGTCGAGGACCTGCAGTTCAAAGCGGTGTCGGCGGGGACCAAGCTCAAGTATGGCGAGCGAGACAGTATTCGGTGCTACTACGTGACCCCGGGCAAAGAGGAAGGCCAGCAGCTCCTGCACTGCGGCTTCTTTGACGAAACAGCGGAACTGCCGAGGCTGTCGGCAGGTGCTGAGTGGGAGGTGGACGATGTGAACTGCCTCGCCGCCTGCGTGCAGAACACCTCGAACCGCATGGTCGCTCTCGACTGCGTCTCCTTCTTCCCCAAGGCTCAGGTGTTGCTGCCGGAGAAGCAGTGGGCTTACAGCAAGCCCAAGCCGCCCGAGACCGGCGGGAGCCCACCGGCCTCAGTGAGTTTCAAGAACTTCGTGCGGAGCAGGCATGCACTCCAAAACGGAGACCTTTCTCCTCGCCGCCCGGGTTTCACGGAGCCAGCAGCAGGCGAGGCCTCAGGCTGAGTGTATCTGCTGTTGGCAGCGACTACTTATAAGTCTCTGTTTGTATTAGGGGAGATCGTTTTGTGGCTAGGCCAGGTCAAGCCACACATTCGACCTGTATAGCGTTTCCAAGATCGGGGTCAAGGCCTGAAAGGAGGCCATCTCGCAAGTCGGAACATGTGCTGAAGGGAAGACGAGGCCCTGAAGGTCTCGCCGGGGCAGCACGTGAGGCAGCAAAAGCTGTAGATGCCGTTGCGGTGTGTGTGTGTGTTGTCAGTATGAGTATGCTGCTGCTGTTGCTGCTGTGATTGATGCAGTCCATGACCTTTCACACCTGACCCCCACACCCCCTCGACCCCGCCCACTCCATGCTGGCAAGTGCAGTGCAGGCATCCACCCCATCCCATTGTGTGCATTGTGCTGCAGAGTCGTGCCTGCATGTGCTTTTATTAGAATTTTTGCGAACCCTGAGCCCAAGGAGTTCTCAAGTCCTGAGCCTGTCATGCGAGTTGCCAGCAGGTGTTGGCTCTAGCATTGACAAAGGCACGGGAATCACAGACATTCAAGTACGTAGTGTTTCCGAAAAGCCGTGTGGTGCTGCTACTCAGGTCCTGTGGTCAGGTCGTACTGTAGTAACTTAGTACTGCCACTCAGGTCCTGCGGTCAAGTCCTGAGTGACTCGCCTGAGGTCCGGTCGCTTCCACATTATCTGTATTTTATTAAGTTCAGGATCATTACTATTACCGTTAGACTCGGACTCCGCAAGAAATGGCGGCCCAGCAGCAGCCGAGTCTGCACTTGCGACGGACTCGCCAACATCTGCTCCTGCAAAACACTGTAACAGGTGAACTTGTCAAGCTGGATTACCTGGATGCCGAATGGCATGATGGGCCCGGATTGACGATCCGGTTCACGAGAGAGGATGGGTCAACGGGGGTGTTCAGCCCAAGAGCTTCTTCAATGGGAGAAGCGGGGACCCATACTGAGGAACCACCGGGACAACTGCGACGAAATTTGGTCAACAGCTGTCAACACCTTCAAAGCTGCGGTTGTGGTAGTGCCTGCACACCAAGGACGACAGTTTCGCTGTGAGTTCTTTGCAGAGAGAGTGCCAAGAGGAGAAGGCACAGGGACCTTGTATCCCCATCTCCGGTGGCTCGTCGCATTTTGCGGAGGCCACCAGAACAAGAACTTCGTGGGATGCAGTGCGGACTCCTGGGAGTACAAGCTTGGGAGCTATGCCAGCACGGCGGCAGCAGGCGAGTATTCCGCTTCGTTTTTCGTTGTGGGTATGCTTCTGCTTCACTGGAGTTCACGAAAGCTGCACAAAAACAGCCAATGGAAGCTGGGTGCAGAACACGTGCAAGCCACAGCGACCATGCTCCTGCGAGCATTGTGCAGAGCCTTCGTGACAGCCTCACAGGCTGTCTGCATCAGGTCGGCCAAAGTCCAGATTGTGTTGACCGAGGATAACATCCACATGAAGTGGCACACGTTCTGCAGCAGCAGTGACTCTTCATTGAAATGCTTGAAGGATATGTTTCCAGAAGAGCACGATTTCTGCGAGTGCCTGCAAATGTGCTGCCGTGAAGAGGTCAGCCCGAACATCTCCGCAGCCAACCGAGAGAGTCTGCGGAAAGCTGTGGCTCTTTTGCTCCAGGCTTTCGCCGATCTCGTGGAAGGCAGCAGGATGTCCGACATCTGGCAGGAGACCGAGCTCTGGTGCCTGCAGCCCTTGAGGCCGGGTGTGTTTTAATTTCAGGACTGCAGCAAGCCGGGCCGAAGAGATGATGCTCTCTGTGGCTTTGCTAACTGCTATCCTTGGTGCTAGTGCTGTCAGGGGGAGAAGGCAGCGAGGGAAGGTTTTTTTTGGTTTGCTCTGAGCTTCTAGTCGCCTCTGTGATTCTCGTGACAGGACCAAGAAAGGCTACAAGAGGCTCAGTGGATCACAGAAAGCTGCAGTGCTGGAACAGACAAAGAAGCAGCACCTCAGATCAGCCTCCAGTGTCCTAGCTTCGCAGGAAGGAGCTGAAGGCAAACAACGATGCAATCTTACCATCCCACTGGAGAGGTATGCCTATGCTCAGGAAGCCAGAGCTCGCTTCGGGGAGGCTCACTGGCTGAGTTTGGCAATCGATGGAGTTCAGGTCGGCTCCAAGTCGTTGCTCAATGTTTTGGCCTGGGATGGCGACTCTGGCTGGAGCTGCATTTGTCCGCCTCAGGCTGGTCGGGAAGCTGTGCTCGTGTGTTCAGTCAGGTAGTGGGTTTTCCAATTCGTTTGCCAAGAGGGTGGGTTTGCAGGCTCAAAAGCAAATGCAAAACCGCCTCCCTGGGCCCCTGCCCCTGCCGCTGCCCCTGCCCCTGCCCCCGCCCCTGCGCCCCTGCCCGTCCCCTGCCTGACCCCAAGAAGTGCCATGGGCCGCTCTCGCACACCAACTCGCCAGCGAGGCACAAGCCAGGGTCGTGGAAGGCAGCAACACCGAGAACTCACCGAATCAGCAGATTCAGGACCGGTCTCGCAGTCCACATCCTTGCAGGCATGAGTGGCGATGGTGCTGGAAACACACGATAGGCGAAACCGGCGAAAGCATCTGGTGGTGGTTGTGGTTTCGTACATGAGCCGGGATGGATCGCTTGCACGAGGCTACGGCATGCAGACCAGCCACTACCCAGTAGTTGATTGGCTTGGTGATTGGCTTGGTCGTTGTGTTTTGGAAGGCATCCAAGAGTATTTGGGCTCATAGCAGGGTTTTGGTCCAGGTGTTCAGAATGCAGCAGAAGCTTTGGAGCTTTCCGAAGTGTTGTTTTGTAGTTTCAAAAGCCTTGCAGAGGCTCGTGAGACTCCTGAGAGGCTCGCAGCCATGAAGCTTGCGAGCTGGTTACCTTTCCCATTTTCGTTGGGACGAATTCATGCTTATCGGAGCAAAAGCAGCTTTCGTTGTCTGCAGCCTGGAGCCGAAGCCCCGTCGAAACCCCACCAAGTTTTGAAGCCTTTGCTATAAGGCAGTGTGCGGTCTTAGCATGTTCCAGCCCTCCCATGCAGCCCGGCCGCTCCCTAGAACCCACCCCCCAGTTTGTGTTGTTCTCCGCAGAGCTCAATGACATATCTCATAGGTATATCATAATGGCGTTTGGGGCCATTCACAAGCAGCAAGATTCATATCCTAGCTTAGCCCCCCGCACACACGTCTTGTGAGGTAAGGTCAGCGGTGCAGCGAGTGCCTAGTTTTTGTTTCTGCCTGTGCAGGTACAACAGAAGCTGAAGGCAAAGGCGGGCGAGGAACAGGCGGATTGGGACCGGAGGGTCGAGACTTTCCTCGAACCTCGCACAGGAGAGTCCATGCCTGCAAAGAGAATGAGGCTCAAAGGCAAAGGCGTCGAGGATGTGCCTAGGCCTAGACAGGCTAGCCTCGCCTGGATGCAGGACGTGAAACATGCCCTCAAGTTCTTGGGTCAGGATCTCTTCTCCTTCAAGGTTGAACTCCCCTACAGCAGCGACATCCCGAAGTCCCTCATCTTAACAACAGATCAGGAGGCGACTCAGCTTGCTGCGTGCAATTTTTTGAAGGATGAAGAGCAGGGCATCAACCTGGAGCTGATCTTCGACCCGCAGCATCGCCGGGGGAACGATGCAATGCTTGGGTTCGCGAGCTCTGGGACATTGAGACGTGCAATTTTCGCCATAGGCCTCTATAATCTCCAGTATGGCCGTATCTCAAAGGAGGGTGGCACGAAATGATCACGTCGGCGGCCCAGATGTGCTCTGAATCTCTCTCAGCAAACGACCCGCTTCTCAAGCTGTTCTTTGAAGAGATTCTAGAGGATCTGGACGAACCCGCCAGCAACAACACGGAGCAGCGGCGAGCCGCTTTCCTCAAGAGTTTGCCTTCCTAGCCTGTGGTCGCGAGCAAAGGGCCGAAGGCAGCTACGTCGAGGTTTAACTCGCTGCAGCATGCCCAAGACCACCTCGACCCCTACTGGGCTACCTTCGCCTTTCTGTTGACCGTTGTGTGTTTGACTCAGGGCTACGTGCAGTTCGCCGACGAGCTCTGGACCCCGGACGACGTCCTCAAGGAGCTTTTGAAACCCGAGCAGTCGGGAGCAGCCGCAGCTGGCAGCTCTACGGATGTCGGACCGACCGGCGGCACCACGAAGCAGGCTGGGATCCGGCAAGCAAAGGAGCAGATGAACAAGATGCGAAGCAAAACTGTGAATACTCTGCACGTCTATGCCAAGTGGATCAATGATCCTGTGAACAAGTCCTATGCCAGACTTATGTTCTATCTCCAGCAGCCAGAAGCCGTGGATTCGGGGCAAATGCTCGTGCACATGCGGTCGGAGGAAAGCACCCGAGAGTTTTTCATGAACTGCGCATGCTGGAGCTTTCTGAATGTGGCGAAGGACCAGTTGCTAGTCCTCAGCGACTTGCGACTCTTGAAGCGTATCGGCTTTGACATGCAAAGAGATTCGGCGAGAACTCTCTCAGAGGATTTTCTCGCACTGCAGGACGAGCTGGCGGAAATCATGTTTTTGGTGCTCCGCAAGCTCTTGAAGTATCGCTTAGGCAGCATGCTTCAGCACACGTGGAGTTTGCCTCACAAGCTCGCAGCCTTGCTGGAGAGGAATGAGGAGAAACAAGCAGCTGCGAGAAGCTTCTTGAAGACTGTGGCCAGCACCCTGCAAGCAGTGCAGGCCAAAGGAACACTTGCAGCAAAGCAGATGCTCAAAGGGCAGCACAGTCCCATAGGCAACTGGGCTCTGGATCGCTTGGCGAAGGTTGAGTTCCAGACGACTCCTGCTGAGGTTTTTCACATGGTTCGTCAGCTCTTCGGAGGCCTCTTGAACACGCCCCCATCATGTGTGCGTGAATGGGTTTTATTTCCCGCCGAAAGTGTAGACAAAGTTTGTCGAAAAAGGAAAACAGAGTTTTCACTTGCGTGTTGTGAACACTAGGCAAACTTTGCCGTGCAGCTTTCGGCTTGAAGTGTGGATCTGTGATCCAAAATTGTCCGCTAGGAATACAAAAGAGTGCTCTCGCTTTTAGCTTACTGCAGCGCAGTTGAGGGTTCCCTGAAACGCGCGCTAACGGAAGTTTCGTTGGGAAATAACAAGCTCGTAGAAGATCTCAACAAACTTCAACGGGAACACGAATGCAGAGACTCCACGAAGCAGGAGGTGAGCGAGATGTTGAGCTGGCGGATAGGGACACAGCATGACCTGCTGAAGGGCTACAAGCGGAAGGAAATCCAAGCTGCCGACGTGAGAAGTCCGCCCAAGGACTACGACCCTCAGCTCCTTTTCAGGCGGCAAGTCGACAGGATGAGCAAGCCAGAGAGGACTGAGAGAGAGGAGAAGATCGAGAGCACCTTGAAGAAGATCTGCGGACCGACAAAGTGGTATGTTTGCACACCCGAAAGCCATCAGCAGACCATGGTGAACCTTGCCTTGTTGGTGCATATCAAGGAGGAGTTCGAGAGGGTGGAATCTGCGTGGCACGGCTCTCCTTCGCCGGAGGGCCACGTGGTCTTTGTCAAGGAGACGAACAACTACAAGTTCGTGCTGCGGACGTATCGGAATGGGGCCTTGGTGTGGCCGATGACCACGAAGATCCCCACTGAGCGGGGTGAAGGCTGCAGAGCATGGACTTTCGACTTGGAGGTTTCGGAACTGGAGTTCCTGTTCGTCTTCGACAAGACAGGCGTCCTCGTGCATCCGCTGAAGATGATGTCGCCCGTGCGAATGTGGCTTGCGCACAAGTCATCCGGATCCGGCGTGACTCTCACGAGCCACAAGGCAGCCTGCTCCTTGGAGTCTTTCCACACGAGCACAGGCTTTGCCAACCTCTCCGAAGAGATCCTCAAGCGGCTCTGCAAGGACTGGGCAGTGCCCCTTCCGAAGAGCCAAAAAGCCCTGGCGGAGACTAAGGCTCTGCGAACTGCTCTGCTCCTGAACAAGAACCCGGGTCTTGAGGCTGCGTCCGTGAAAGCCGCTGTGATGAAAGGAGATGGCAATCTGGAAGGCGAAGACGAGTTCGACCTTGAAGAAGTCGAGAATATTTATTGCAAGATACCACATTGGCAAATGAGAAGGACCAGATGATGAAGCTCATGAAGAGCAGCACGAAGAAGAAGACAGAAGTTCAGGTCAGCGAAGCCATGCAGAAGTGCTTCGAGGACGTGGTGCAGAATCTGCCGCCGAACTTGAAGACAGCGAGAGCGAAGGCCTAGGCGAAAGCCAAGGCCCAGGCCAAGCAGGAAGCCAAGAGGAAGCCCGCTGAGAAGGCCTCGTCAGCAGCAGCTCCTTCGAGGTCTGGCACTGGCGGCGGCACGAGGACGTACGATCCTGTGCCTGCAGAGATAGATCGCCTCCTGCATGCATCCATCCCGATGGGAGGCAAAGTCTACACCGACGAAGACAATGGTCGGTGGAAGATTGGCTTCAGCACGGATGAGGTTCATCAGCAGCGGTCGCTAAGCTGGACGACCGCTGGAGGGCCAGCTGCGGGCCTGGCAGCAGTGCGGCAGCTCTGGTCCTGGAGCGAGTTGTACTCAGGAGAAGGCATGTCGGAACAGGCCGCCAAGAATGAAGAGGCAATGATTGCCGCGAGGGAGCCTGGCCCGCAAAAGACATTTTTGTTTCTGAAATAGATCTCTTGTAGCTGGTGTTAGTGTCGATCAGTGGCATCCCGGCTAAGGACCGAGAAGCTTGAGGACCGCTTTGTTTCACCCTTTCTGTTTCACGGATTTCGCAGTTTTCTAAACGTGCCGCTCTTCTGACCGAGTCTCGGAAGCATCCAGATAATTTAACATTCCTTCTAAGACCCTCACGAAACGTCAGAAGAAGAGCCAAGGTTCGTTCTTTGTCGTAGTTGGGCACTGGTCAAGTGAGTCCAATCTGGTGGCAGAGGGTCTAATGTGTGTTAGGTTCGGTTGATGGGGACATAGTATCCTAGGACAGCAGAAGAGGCTCATTAGAGGACCAGGCTAATTGAGTTAATGATGCCCTGGCCGGCGTTCGTCGATGAGCACAAGCAGTCGCATCCGAGAAAGAAGCGGAACCGGCGGCATTTCACATCAGTCAAGCCTCGCAGCCTTCGCATATTGCCTTGCTGCTGCTGCTGCTGCTGCTGCTGCTGCCAGGCTTGAGGCTTAGCTTGTTTAGATTGTGCCCCGATTATATGCCTCAGACAGTCAGTGTTTCCAAAATAGGGCCTTCATAGCTCTTATCACCGTGTCTAGGCATTGCCCAACATACACATAGCTATCTAACTAACTGACGTTTCCGTGTGTTCACCATGAGGAAGCAATCGCTGAGCAGTCTCGGCACATACTTTCCGCAGGCAGATCACTATCTGCAAACATCATGCTCCACAGGGCCTGTGAAACGTGCAAGCAGCCAGCCTCGCACAGCACATCCTTCTCCGCCACTGCTGCATATTGTATTCTGGAAGTCTCGCATGATTCAGGTAACCAGCTGCAAACAGTATGCTAGCAGCGAGTCGGTTGTGATTGTCTTGGAGTCCAGACTCAGCTTTGAAAGTGTCTCGGCTCCAGAGACCTCAGAGGCTCCCAACAGGCACTTTCGCAGTGCAGTCCGTCGAGGCGTCATGGAGGCAGCTCCCGAGCCAACACCGACTACTCAGCCCGCTCAGCCCATGCCGCCAACGGCAACGTAGTGCTTCCTAGTTTTGCGCTGTGGGTTCAGCGATGCGAGCATAGGGCATGGCCCGCATGGCCGTACAGTGGTGCATTGTTCCGATGCGATGGCTCACCCAGTGGGAGTCTGTAATGCGAGCATAGAGCGTGGCAAAACGATCCTAGCGACCTTCTGCACATGTTCGTTTCTTGTGTGCCGTGTTTTTGCCGTCCAGGTCCCTCGAGCTCTACTCGACGCCGGTCGACGCCGGAGCCACGGATTGCTGGAGCCTTCGGTTAGTCTAAGTCCCGAACCTCTGACCTTGTGGATGTTTCTCGCTAGCGCTCCGGATGCTCGCGGATGCTCGCTCGCGGATGCTCGCTCGCGGATGGTCGCTCGCGGACGGATGGTCTGCATGCTCGCAGATGCTTTGCATGCTCCGAGACTCGCCGATGCTCTGGATGTTCGGGGATGCTCGCTCGCGGATGCTGTTGATGCTCTGTCGCCTGGATGCTCGCCGATGCTCGCCCCTTGATGCTCCGGATGCTAGGTGTATATTGTTTTGTTGGTTGCGGTGTGCAAAGGGTGGGTGACGACAGCGCCACGGCGAGGGAACGGCGCGAGAACGATGCAGCGGGACGTTGACACGGAGACGACGGCTCGGCGGCTATAGGACGACGAGGCGACGACGCTTAGCCGCAAGTGCAAAGCCATGAATCGTCGGTGAACTGGCTCCGAGTTGTGGGTCGGGTCGTCCTTAGCATCAGCAGCACTACAGAGCTTTGAAGCCGCGCGGGCCAGGCTGCAATGTAGGCAACGCCTTCCCGCAAGATGCACATCTGAGACCTGGGAGTGCGATTGAAACGACGATGACATGGGTATGTTTGTAAATGTCATGGATGTGGTGAGGCAGTCGCCGCTGCTGCCTGAATGTCCTGGCGAGAAAGGCGCAGACACTGTACAGGCAAGTCGTGCCACTTCATGGCAAAAAGGGCAAGGTCGGCAGAGCTTTTGTGGCTGTGGGCCGCAGAACATGTTGTTCGGACCCATGCAGCATTTGTGCAAAAGGAGAGGGACGCATGAAATCGGAGGCAGCTCGGCTTCAGGATAAAGTGAAGATCAGGGGGGCTATATAGTGGCATGGCAGATTCTTGTCGGAAGCTTTCTTGCTGGGAAGACTGCCTGGATGTTGTCTTTCTTACTTTTGCAGCTGCGTCATGGCAGGGCGTCGCTTGTATCAGACTTCTGCTGCCTTCGGCTCCAAAATGCTCCGCGTGCTGCCAAGTTTACATGCGTTCTTTACATGGCGTGTGTTACTGTTACACACCCGCAGGCGAGCAAGTAATTCCTTGTGGGTATCTTTCGGTGCCAGGTGAGAAGGCAACGAATTCTCTCGACCTTTGCCACCTACACCGTAAACACCGGGCATCAAGGAACAGCAAAGCAGTGGCAGTTCGCTTTACACATTTGCTGCATGCTAGTCGAGTCACTTACTTAGAGTGATTTTTGGCACAGATGTCGGCCCAGAGCTCAGTATGCGCAGTGGTCTTGGATGTAAGCTCCGAAAGGCATCATGAAGCCTCTAGTTCTGGGTCAGGGTTCAGTAAAAAGCCTTGTCTTCTGGCGTTCCAGCTTGCCCAGGCCCTCCGACTCCTTCGGTGCTGCCGGGAACTTCTGCAGCGCCCGGGATGCATCGGTGTTTTCTGGTTTCTCGAGGTTCGGTGTGCACGGGCGTGCCTTCTTCATGACATGCACGGGCTGCAACGCAGCAGTGTGCGCTGCCCGGGTGCCGACTGAACACCATGGTATGCATATTCAGTAGCCATCCCGCAAAGGAGTTCCGGAGTCTCGTTGGTTCGTGCTGCGTCGTGTACTGGCGAGATGTCGAGCAGTGGTCTTATTATCCTAGAGGCTTCCCCAGAGAAAATGTCAGTGAACCCCTTAAAGTGTAAGAACTAGCGACTGCCTGTTTGAGGCTTCGCCTCCACAGAGGGCCTCTGGGCGGCACGGAACCTCGAAAATGGTGCGAACACCGGGGGCGGAAGACTTTAGGTGGTGCGGCTACTTCTGAACAGTTTCGGGCAGCCAGGTGCGGTTGCGGCAAAGTGCGCACAGGGACACAGGGAGCGCAGGTCAAGTGGGAGATGCAAGGAAACGACCCGAATGGCACACGGGTCGCGAGTAATGTGTTGTGAAAATCAAAGCGATGCTTGCCGAAGAGGGTGTGCTTGCATGGTATCGTTATCATTGCAGCCCAGTGGAAGTCTTGAGCGCTACATGTCCGTTCACATGTGCAGGCATTCGCTGGCACTTGGCATCGAGGCATTGGCTTGGTCGTGACCAGCATCGGTGAGGACCTTGAGAAACTGCACCGATTATCTAGAAGCTTGTGAGGCAGATTCGAATCTGAATCCGGAGTCTTTCAGCTCAGAGACTCAATCCCGACTTGATCAACGAAGAACCGGTTGAGGCCATGAGGCTCCGTGCCGGTTTGTGCTTCCTCCTGGGATTTCACCTCACGTCGAGGGCTTTGTCCTACAAGGTTGCCGACATTCCCATTCACCTCGTCAACAACAGCAACGAGACGGTGAACGAGCAGGTGGATGAGATTGTGCTGGAGAACTTGCAGAAGGATGTCGAGGAGGAGAAGCAGATCCCCGATCTAACGAACAAAACTGGCCAGGACAACGAGACGGAAGGCTTCGGCGGATTGGCGAAGCAGCTGGAGTTCATGACGCTGAAGATGGTGCAGCTGGAGACGCTCTGTCAGATGCAGCAATACGAGATCGAGACGCTCAGGTTGAAGGTCAAGGAGCATGACGCGATTCTTTCGAAAGACCACGAGGGCTTGATCCAACTCCCCGAGAGGGACCCCGAGACGCACTTGAAGAAGACACAAGAAATCATGGAGAGAGTGGTCATGAAGCATTCCCGCCAGCGCAGTACCGGGGACTTCCATCCAACTCCCGGGGACTCTGAGCCGAAGGCACCCGATCGCTCCGAGCAGGTACTGCTCCAGAAACGCCAGAAATCCTCTTCGAACAGCAGAACCGGATGTGGGCCTTTGTCACCGTGGAACTGTCTGACGGAGGCGGTGGAGAGGACTGCCACTTTGGTCAACGGAGAGTGGGTTGGCACTGCCACAGAGTTGGCAAATTCCTACCAGGCTCTGCTTGACCAAAATGACATCACCAAGCAGATAGCCTTCTTTGCCGATGCTGCCATCGACACTGTTGACAAGGCCGTGAAACTGCTCACAAAAGGCTTTTCCAGTTCAGTTTCTCCTGCACCATGAATCACCCATGGCAGAGATTGGAGGGCGGAACCCTCGTCACAAATTTCGGCTGGTTCGGATGCAAGCTCGACCTGATGGGTGAGACGAGCAATTGGATGAACATCGATTTGGGCACGCATAGGTACCAGCTGCCCGGCCCCTTGGGAACCTTGACCAGCTACTCGGTTGATGCCATCGCATCCATCTTAGAAGTCGGCAAAGCCATGGAAAGCTGCCATGAAGCCCGCAACTCGGACGGGATGAAGAGATGCCTTGCCTGGCACATTGCCAGTGCCCGGCCCATGATCGATTTCTTGCCTGGCAACTTGCGCGGGGTTGTGCAGACACTTGGCAACTTTCCCGTGGATGGCATCAACGCAATCTTAGAAGTCGGTAGAGCGATGACAGGATGCCATGAAGCCCGCAACTCGGACGGGATGAAGAAATGCCTTGCCTGGCACATCGCCACTGCCCGGCCCATGATCGATTTCTTGCCGCAGGATTTGAGGGGCCCCCTGCAAACGCTCTCAAGCAACCCCTTGTCGCTTATGCCTGATCCACTACAGACCATGGCAACAGTGGGCGAGACCCTGAACGACTGCACCGACAAGGAGTCGCACGAGGAACTGCTGCAGTGCTTCGGGTTCAAGCTTTTGGAGCACACGCCTCCCTTGAGTTGGCTGTTGAAATTGAAGGATGTCATGGCTCGCTATGTCGAAGTTTTTGCGCAGATCAGCAACAAGTTGATGGACTTCTCCGCCATGGCCTTCTCCTGGAGAAGGCCATGGCGGAGAACCCGGCTTTGTTGCAGACGGCTGTCCACTCAAAGTTCGGAGCTCTTGGCGACCGCCCGATTGTGCACCACTCAAGCTCAACCCTTGAAGTCAAGACACATGTGCAGAGGCCCGAGTTCTTGCAGGAGATGGCCCAGTCTCGGCATGAACGTGGCGACGACAAGTGGGCACAAAACGGATGGAGCATCGGCGACTATGGCCCTCAGACCACTTCGCTCATCACCCAGTTCAACGGGAGGGAGAAGTTCACGGGGTCCTGCCTGGCCTTCGCCCCAAGGAACCGACCAGCAGGCGACGGAGACAGACTGGCAGGTGGAGAACGAAGACGACTTCCTGAAGCTGGAGCCTTATGCCGTGCCCTGCAGCAACGCTTGGATGCAGCAGAATTGGAACAAGTGGCAAGGGTATTCCTTCTACACCTGGCCCACACAAGTGGAGGAGTGCATCACCATCAACTTCAATGTCGGTCTTCAGCCCGTGGTCGCTCTGATCGGTGGCGTTCAGTTTAAAGTCTTGCCTGATCCTTTGGCACAACTGAGCACGATGGTCTGCTGGCCGTTTGGGCAACCTGGCGGGGTGGACCTCAGCGTGCTGCGCTCGCAGATCAGCTGTGGCAACGTGATGCTTTTCAGCCGAACGCTGCGCCTGGCCAAGCGCTTCGGAGAGGACACGGACTTCGTGAACGAGAACATCAACGGAGGCTTCCAGACCTGGCGCAGCGCCTTCGGCGTTGGTTACGCCAGCGGGGCGGAGGAGAACTTGAACGCGGACCCGCGCTACGAGGCCGTGCGCAGCCAGTTTGGGCCTCCCCAGGGCGAGAGCAAGTCCGGGATCGATTCCATGGCGAGGTCGGCGCAGTCCGCATTCCTTCAGGGCAATCAGAGCCAGAAGCAGGGCACGGACACGGAGTCGCTGGTCTGGAAGACGGATACCGATGACCTGCACCTCGCCTCCGTCGACATCAACCACTTGGGCGTCAACCGTACCTCTGAGCTCAGGGGCGCCCTCCAGGACCCGACTGGGGAGAAGGCCCACAAGCTCTTCAGCTTCAAGGCACCTGCGCTGGTCGACTTTGAGTTCGCCGGCGTCCTTGAAGGCAACAACTTGTACCTTGAGGTCCTCGCTGGGATTCGGGCCGTACCAGAGCGGGGTGAGGAGGATTCCTTTGGTCAACATCGCCCACCAGTTCTCCTTGGTCCTCGCGGCCATGCGCGGCTTCGTGTCGGTGGAGAGTCGGCTGAAGGCCATCAAAGCGCTGAACGACTTCCGCGAAGACGATGTCGGAGAAGTGGGCAGCCTTGAGCTACTCTTGAGGCCGGGTTCCCATATCGCCCTGCGCAGTTCTCACTTCAAAAGGTATGTCTCGATGACGGCAGATGAGGCAAAAGGCACCGACACTGAGAGGGAGCTTGCAGACGGCATACCGTCGGATTGGTTCTACGAGCGCTTTGTCGTCGTTGATGCCGGGAACGGCGAGATTGCTCTGCACAACAGCGCCCGCAATCGCTTCCTCGCACTCTGGGAAGACCGGGTGGGCTTGAGCGAGCGGGTGGCAGCCAACCAACTGGGAAATGGTTGGAGCGCGGAGAAGTTCACCGTCGTCCAAGCAGGAAAGGGTCAGATCGGTCTGCACAACAAGGCTGCCAACCGCTTCCTGAAAATGAATCAGCAAACCGTTCAACCCAGCCCAGTCCGCGCCCCACCTCTTCCGGATCACTGGAGCGTCGAGCGCTTTGACGTCCTGCATTTGCGTCCTTACTTGGTTCCCGGCTCCGTCGTGGCATTGCATAGCGTGGGCTTCAATCGCTTCGTCTCAATGCGTCCAGACGCCACCGTGAGAATGACTGGAGAGCATGGTCCTGACCTCCCTCATAATTGGGTTTATGAGCCGTTCACCGTGGTGGATGCTGGCAACGGGCAGGTGGCGCTCCACAGCGTACCCCACAACCGCTTCCTCATGATTACCGACGATGGGAGTGTGAAAGGCAGCAAGAGTGCCGATGCCAGCCAGCTCGAGGCATCTATGACGTGGGAGAGGTTCGCAGTGATCCCTGTGGATCCTGCGAGCAACATCTTCGCTCTCCACAGCACAGCCCACAACAGCTTCCTCCAGACGTTTCAGGCTGATGTTCGCTGCAAAGAAGCATCGGTGGAGCAGATGAACGGAGGCTGGCTTTGGGAGCAGTTCGAAGTCGTGCAGGTGTCAGACGCCCGCACCGGTGCGAACGATGTACCCTTCGAAGTCGATGCCTGAAGCCCCTGAGGCCCCACGGCCCGTGAGAGTGGACACGACTCCGAAGTTTAGTTTCGGTCAGCTACGTAAGTTTCAGGGAGTAGTTGCCGCGCTTCATGTCCACGTGGAGCAGAAGCCTCAGGACTTGACACGGACGGGCATGATGCCTGTGGCACTCTGGTGCCTTGAGAAAAAATCGAGTTCAGGCCATGAGTGGCGGTGGTTTCATCACTGCGTTACAGTACCGGCTACATGCAATGGCCCGCGGAGTGGCTCCAGCCGAAGCAAGCCTGTGCTTGTGGTCTTTTGCAGGACCCTGTGAAGCCAGACCTCCGCGTCGGGGATGCTCTTCTGGTCGTGGGCTCGAGCTCTATGCCAGAGGCGGGCAGTGAGGAGCTGGCTTTCTGGACCAACTGAATGGTGTCAGACTCAAAGCTCCACATTGGAGAATCCAAGGTGCTGAACTGAAACAAACCTTCCAAAGACATGCAAGAAATCGGAACTCCTCAATTTTGCCTTTTGGGATTGAATATGATTTCAAGACACGCAGCTTTTGTTTTTAAAAACCTTTGCAGCATTATCTTAAATCCCTCTGAGTCTCTGGCTTCTTTACTGTTGGAAAGGCAGGCGCTTCGCTTTTGGGCCCTCCAGCACGTTCTATTTTCAGAAGCTGGGTTGTGGAACCCGAGGTGCTGTGAGTTCGGGTTTAAGACCTCCAGCAAGTAGAGGTCAGGGGCCCTGGTTAAACTTGAGGGCCAGGGGGGGGGTTAAATCAGGGGTTCGGGCCTTTGAATTTTGCGGCCCGGTTTTAATTGAGGGCCCGGGGTAAATTAGAGACCCCGGTCAAAATTGAGGCCGGGGGGTTAAATTAGGGGTTCGGGCCTTTAAATTGGCGGCCCCGGTGAAAATTGAGGGCCCGCGGGGTTAAGCTTTAATTTTTTTCCGGGTTTTCGGGTTTCGGGATTCAAAGTAGTGTAGCCAGTGTGTGCATGCTTTCCAAGCACAATGACCTTGCTCGACTTTCCTGACATTGCTCCGATATGTTGCTTACAGTGCAATTGCTACCTACACACCAGATCTGGTAATCTGCATCCTGGAGCATACTTTCTCGGCCTTTTGGCCATGATCAAGTGCAGTATGTGTTCTTATTCGTGTGACAACTGAAAAGTCTCCAGCTGGAGACTTGCTTGTCACATCTGTGTTTGCTGGGGAAGTGTCTTCATCAGCTCGCTCAGAAGCCTTCACGTGCTGCGCCGGCATGGCACCAAGCCAGTGGCAGCACACCCCGCTGGGGTAATTCTGCTTGCTGAAGGCTTGAAGGGGGTTGCTGTCGATTTTCTTAATCTTGCCTTTGTTCAACAGGAATGATTGATTCTGCGCAAAAAGTGCATCCCGGAGGATCCAGCTTCAGGCATCCTTGTGGAAGGCGCAACAGCGCTATCAGACGCTTAGCGGAGGTGCGCTGTTTGCTAGTTGAAACTACTCCAATTCCCGTCAAGTTTGCAATTTTCATTATGGCTTCGACGATCGCAACTTCTTCAACAGCTCCGGAACTCCACTGTGTAACAGATTTCGAATTTGCACCCAAGCATCAACCAAAAAATCGTTGCTGCCCCCTTCCAAATTCCAAAGCCCGACGGCTCGCTTCCTAACAGCTTCCAAGCGACGGTACGCTCCCGAACGGCTCGCAGACCCTCCGCGCTTCCTCAAACTGCTTCCGAACCCGCGAGCGCCCAGTTTGCAAGGACTTTAGAGCCCCAAAGATTCTTAGCAGTAGGAGGCGGAGTCGGGGTGGGGTGGGAGTGGTGAGCAGTGTGGGAGTTGGAGCAGTGCAGCGGGAGCAGGCTTGGGGGGTGGGAGCGGGAGCCGTCGGAGCCGTAGGAGCAGCAGCAGCAGTAGCAGCAACAGTCGCAGTTGCAGTCCTTGCAAAAATCCTCGCTTTTTGGGGCTTTTTCGCTCGAGCGTCGGTTCCCGTGGGCAAAAGCCCCGCGGTGCCAGTAATTGCCTCGCTCCTGCGAGGCGGAAGTAGGCGAAACATGCCTCATGGTTTGCAAAATGCACGAACCACCTACCCAGATGGACCTCTTTAATCCGGTGGCCAGAAGCCCTAACAGCCCCGCAGACGTCAACCCAACTTCAATCCAACAAAACCCAACCGCGCCCTCACAAGCCTGATGTAGTAAAAGCCTTGCCACAGGGTTAGGTTCCTCGGCGCCGCCTTTCTCGTTGCTCATGGGCTGCACACCCCGAGTGCTGCTCCTTCTGGTCTGGCTCTTGGCCGATGCGCAGGAGGATTGTGAGACGTTGAAGAGCCAAGACACCTACCAGGCGGAACCTTGAAACTGCCCCCGACCCTAAACCCCATAAACCTTGAACGTCCTGAGGGTTTTCCGCAAGGATGCTTGCAGAAGGTGTTTCGCTTGTGGCTCTACTTGCAGGTCGGTTTGCGCAGGTGGTGCAGTTCTCGGGGGCAAATGTTACCAGCATGCACAGACATGCACCAATCACTGACTTCAGAATGGTCAGAGCGGAATGGTCATAGTGGCAGACGGCAGTCATCAGTACCGCATTCCTGTTTTTCATGATTCATGATGTTGTTCTAGCTTTACCATCTTCAGTTCGTATTAGAAGGCACACTCGGGCATCATGTTCGCAGATCTGTTTGCAGCATAAACGGCTACACAAACTGCTGTAAGCAAAGCAGATATCACACCAGGTACACGGAAGCATCGCGCGCTCGCTTTTTTTTGGTTCTTCTGCTGGTCCTGTGGCTATCTGTCTTACCAAAACTTTGTGAGTGAGCAGTGCTAGCTGGCTGATCCTCAAGGAGCAAGCTGTTGACAGGGCACGTTCACGTTGTTTGGGTTTCTCTGTGACCCTGTGTTACACTTCTTTGTGAACGACCTGCTCTGCTACCTGAGTATAATGGTAGCGAGGCCGTGTTTAGATCTCTTCCAACAGATGGGGCTGCGTGGAGGCAAAGTTCCGAGGGGACACGGCCGGGGCTTGTGAGCTAGCTACGCTGCCTAAAGCGAAGAGATCGAAGAGGCTTTCTCGCTGGATTGTTTGTCGAGGTCACATGACAGGCCGTGTTCAAACAGATGCGAAGATGATTGTCACCCAACCTGAGCGGACAGTTCACGAAGCGCCCAAGACCGATGAAACCCCAGGCCCAGGCCCTGCTGCGGGGATTTCGGATCTCGAGGGATCAGTGGAACCAGTTGGTCGAATCATGCAAAATTGAACCCCAAAGCCTCAAACAGCAAAACCTCGGCCCGCAAAGCCCCCCAAAAACGCCCTCAAGAGGCATGTGGCCCTGTGGACAGCGTGCTCGGCCCTTCCGCTCCTACTTGCTTTGCGACGAACTACACCAGCAGCTCCATCTCCACGTTGCCACAGTGCCCCATAAATTCGACCAGCAAGTGGAAGGTACCAATAAAACCTAAGTGCTGCCAGTAGTGATGCAGGTCGTCTTGACATTTATGTAAACCCAGATCCAAGGTAGAAGTCATACTCCTCATGCCAACAATATCAAATCACTATCGAATCAAAGATGATACTTTTGAAGCCCTTGATTCTCCTTGAAGTCGGCGCCCAATATTCATGTTTCAATACTCGAACATGTTAAAGGCATAGTGAAAACACTGTACCGGATAAAAGCTCCTGACCATGATGCGACCACCGCTTACGAGGCTAGGGTGCTTCTGATCCGAAAGGTACTGCCGCCTCCCATACGAAATTCGTGTGGGCCTCACGCTGTCTCTGACGGGCCCACTGGCGCATGTCGACAGCCCCAACTCCACCGCGTTGAGGCTGCTCGGCTGAGCTTCGATGTGGGGGTCTAGTGTTGTGGTGTACCCAGAGAGCCCAATACCCCTTAATTAAGGAATACAGCTTAAATCATAACATGAGGCACCCAATATTTTATGCCATATTCCTAAATTACGGGGTATTGGGCTCTCTGGGTATTGCTGAACGTTAGCATGCCAGATCAAAGAAGATCCAGGCATCAACCGGATTGCTGCCGTGCCCCAGCTGTTTAGGGCCGTGCCTTACGGATGCAATATTTCGACCTGGCTTCCCGTCAGGTGGCAAGGTCTGCTTGTTGGGCTTGAACTCTCTCCAACCGACGGCAGCGAAGTAGCTAAACCCTAAGCCCTAAGCCCTAAACCCGAAACAAGACTTTCTTCGTCAGATGGCTAGAGGTTGATTAACCAGAGTCTGAAAGCTGGTAGTTTGAATAATGGGAAAAGAAGATCAAGGTGTACATTTATCATAGTATTAGTAGAAGAAAAATAGCAGGAGAAGTAGTAGTAGCAGGAGTTGTAGGAGTTGGATCAGGAGCAGGAGTTGGAGGTGAAGTTGGAGTAGCAGTAGCAGTAGCAGCAGCAGCTGCTACTGTTGTTGTTTTAAGATTATGATTATGGACGTGAGGATGATGGTGCTGATCATACTATCCTGAGACATGCCCAGAGAGCCCAAAACCCCTTAATTAACGAGTATACCTTAAATTAAAAGGGGCTTCATAATAGAACTTAAGCTATCTTCCTTAATTAAGAAGTATTGGGCTCTCTGGACTCGCCCTCTTCCGAAGCTGAGGATCCTCGAGCTCTTGGCCTCTGCAAGCAGCCAGATTTCGCGTGTCGCATGGTTGCATGCCAGATAATGCATGGGTGACCAAAGCCCTACCTAAAGACTCCAATATCCCTTAATTAAGGAATATATGTACCTTAAATTTAGGTACCTTAAATTATAGTAGGATCCCTAATCTGATATTCGGACTCTTCCCTAATTAAGAGATGTTGGAGTCTCTGGGTATGCTCCTCAAACCCTAAAGCTGCGGATTGAATTGTGCTGGAGAGTCGAAGGCTCGAAAAGAAGTTTGCGAGAAGTCTACGTTCGTAGTAGAAGGGACAGAAGCCCTAAACTCTAAACCCTAGACTCTAAACCCTAAAGAATTCCGTTTTTAGAGTACGAGTTGTAGCAGCACACAGTTGCAAGCCAATCTCTTCCTCCGAACCATCCCACCGGATATCAAATCTCGATCACCGCCGAGAGAAAAGAATTTCGCGGGGGGGGGATTCGGGAAGTCGAGGAGTAGGTTTGGGCCCCAGCCTTGCAACACTCGGATTCGTCAAGTCCCTGAAACCCTAAACCCTAAAACCCCTAAATCCCTAAAACCCTAATCCCTAAACTCTAAACCCTAAACCCTAAACCCTAAACCCTAAAATCCCTAAAACCCTAGACTCCATAGATCCCACCAAGGAAACCTTATAGTACCCTGCAAAGGAACCCTGTAGACCCTAAATCCTTGACTTCGGACCGCCTGGCAACCTGAGGCGGAGCAGGAGGTGCAACTCAGCAATGGCCAGCGCATCCTAGTCATAGTTGGGTAACATTTTACACTTTTATGGGTACTTAAACCCCATAAGGAACAAAGATGTACATGTTTAATCCTATCCCAACAATGATCTACCCTAAACCCTAAACCCTAAACCCTAGGCATCCTGAGCGTTGAGTCCTGCCTTCGCTTCTGCGTGATGGATGACGGAAGCTCGGAGCAGAACATGGTCGATCTCTATCGGTCCCTTGACGTGAAGGGTTTAGGGTTTAGGGTTTAGGGTTTCGTGAAGAGAAGGTTTTTGTCAGGGTTCAGGGTCTATAGCCGTTGAGTGCAGCTTATCATTCTCATTCTTGGATTAATAAGATCACCGTTGCTTTTTGGTATTAGTATCCGCATTAGTTACTATCCGTATTGCTATACTTTCTGGTCTTATTATTAGTCTTATTCTTGTTCTTATTCTTTTTCGCGTTCTCATTATGCCTTTTAGTTTGGTACCATCATTATGACTATGACTATGACTATGACTGATATCATGCATATGACAGCTACTACTATTCGTTCTCTTACCGTTAGTAATGTTAGTTATTCATATTCGTATTCTTCTTCTCAGCAATAATATCATCATTATTGTTGTTACTGTTATTATTGTTATTTTTACTGCACTTATTATTTGTATCCGTATTGGAATAGGTAGTTGCAGTATTACTAGCATGCTTAGTTCTTTCGAGTCGTCCCTGTTTCGCGCTGTCTCCGAGGTCTTTCGTCGGCGTGAACCAAAGCGAGTCCAACGTGGATCTCCTCTTGGGGCCCGGAAACTTCCAGTTCCGGAAAGCCGCGGCGGGGGGCCCCGGGAGGTTTTTGGGGTCCTTCTTGGGGGTTTAGGGTTTAGGGTCTGGGGCCCCAGAGTTATGATAGATTAGGGGGTCTTTAGGGGTTTAGGTGTTGGGATCTAGGGCCCCAAATTCTGGGGTTTTTAAGGCTTTTGTATTTATGGTCTAGGCCCTAGGCCCCAGAGTTAAGGGTTTAGGGTTTAGTCTAAGGGGAGACCGGAGAGAAGAGTAGTGGGGGTTTTTGAGGGGTGTTTCGGGGTTCGTGGTCTAGCGGTTTATGGGCTCAGGCGTTTAGGGGTTTCAGGGGTTTCAGGGTTCAGGGGTTTGGCGTTTAGGGGGTTTGTGGGTTCAGGGTTTGGTTTAGGGTTTAGGGTTTAGGGTTTAGAGTTTAGGGTTTAGGGTTTAGGGTTTAGGGTCGTGGGGGTTGGGGAAGAATAGTGTCAAGGGGCACACGATGGGAGGCGACGCAAATCACAGCGAATTTGGGGAGAAGCCTTAGCCAGGCCTGTCACATTGTTCACTTGGGCGTACTTGGAAATAATTTGTAATTTTTGTTTTCTTATAATCCCTAAGAAACAGCTAAAAATATAATTTTTGCTGGGGTTCTAAGTTCAGTATAGTTTACCCGAAACCCTAAACCCTAAGTTTGCAGAGGTCATCTCGGCTTTCGAACCCAGAGATCCCAATACCCCTTAGTTAAGGAAATAGACTTTAAACCATAATATGAGGGGCCCATATAATTTAAGGTATATTCTCTAATTAACGGAGATTGGAGCACCCTAAATCTTAAACCCTATAGATCCCTTTCAGGATCCCTTATAGATTCTTTAAACGAACCCTAGGTATTCCTGAATTCAGGGGTATTGGGATCTCTGGGAAGTTTGCTGGGAGAGATTGTCACAGGCCCAGGTCGCCGATGAGTACCAGCCTCTTGGACGGCTTGCGAACTTCTCAAGGGGTTTTAGGTTTTAGGGTTTTAGGTTTTAGGTTTAGGGTTTAGGGTTTTGGGACTTAGGGTTTAGGGCAGCTTCGCAAGATTTCTTGAGTTGCTCCGAGGTTCTAGTTGTTCTCATCCCGAGCTGCACTTGATGTGTCCCAGGGTGCCCATGCTTCTGTGGTCGCTGCCCGATGAGACGCTCGGGGGCACTAGAGTTGTGAGAGATGGCACTGCACGCAATAACCACGAGGTGTTCGCAGCTGTTCCCGCAGGAGTGTGCATGTGCATGCAGATTCGTTTTCATCGCTGGGCATGTGATCGGGGGTTGGTAAGGAGGCAGATTTGCTAATCCCTAAAGCCTAAACCCTAACTAGCAGCCCCAAACCCAAAACCCCAATTTCCGAACCCCCAAACCCCAAACTATCCTAAAGCCTAAACTCGAAACCCAAAACACAACCCTAAACCCTAAACCCTAAACCCAAAACACTCCTAAAAGCCCTGCCGAGGTTGGCCCGTGTGGGGACTTCCGAGCAGACTCCGCTGGAGTTGTTTCAGGATTAGAGTTTCAGGTAAAGGGTTTCAGGGTTTAGGATTTAGTGTTTAGGGTTTCTAGGGTTTTCAGGGTTTAGGATTTAGGGTTTAGGGTTTCTAGGGTTTTCAGGGTTTAGGATTTAGGATTTAGGGTTTAGGGTTTCTGGGGTTTATGGGGTTTACAGAAATTATTTAGGATTTGGGTCCCTGTTACGACCCTCAGCCCCACGCACGGCCGACAAAATCCTCGAGGCGCTGAGCCTGCAGATTTTTCGGGGCAACGATCCCGCGTCAAGCCACGATTTTCGGCCAACGCAGTTTCTTCGGAATGTGCTGTGAAGCAATCCCGAGGACTATCATACCAGTACTGCCACGGTGTATCACGGTGTCATAGATCTGCAGAATCGTAACAGAAGACAGGTAAGACAATCCACTCATTGCGATGTCCTTCGCTGTGAAGATAGTTCGATGCAGTTCGACAGCAAGCAGCTAGGCTTTCGTGGCAGCCGTGGTGGCGGCGTGGGCGGCTTCGCCAGCGTGCCTCGAACGCACCAAAAGTGTGCACATGATATGGCCGATATGGCATGTTCAATGCGGCATCGTGCGAGGCCGCAGCCGCAGAGGCCAAGGCGAGAGCCAGGGCCACACAGTCGGCATCGGCCCGGCGGCGTCGCCGTTCCTGCATGGGTGTGCTTCGGCATGAACAGAATTTAAGTCGTTTGGACAGCTGAACCATGCCTATTCAAGTGATGCCCTAAATCGGGCTATGAAGCCCGATCTCCATGCAAAGCACTTCCGAAGTGCTGGGCCAGAACTGAGGCACCGGGAGCTGGAGAGCGATGAGGTGACAGCGTTCCTCCGAACGTCTGAGGGGACGATCACCTCGAAGGCATTGTCGTACTCTTACTTGCATCGTCAACTTCATGCGAGTGCACCCATTCAAGATATTTTGGCACCCTTGGCCAGGCACAGTATTCTCACAGCTTGGTTCATAGCAGAAAACGGCAAACATGGTGATTGCTCTTGGAAAGGCACAGTAATCTCACATCTTGGCTGCTAGCAGAAACTGGCAAGCATGGTGATTTCACAGGTTCGTATTCTTTTCAAAAAACAATGTTCACACCTCACGGTCGAACAAGTTGTCATGCTTGAGGCATGCCAACCCACACGCGGAAAAGTAGCACAACATACAGCACAACACATCAGAATGCGAGTGACCACCTGTCCCCGTGCCACACTCCACTTATGCTGTTCTTCGTTGCCTGTTGTCACGGCCATTTGTTTCACTTCCTTGTTGCAGACGGTTGCATGCAAAATCATACGGAGCTGTAAGACTGGATGAAGCGTAATCTCGCGCCAGGATGAGAAGCGCTCGCGAGGACGACGCCCAGCCGAAAGGACGCCGGCCAAACGGGAGCTCCTCCAACCCGCCGGCCCTGACGCGCCGCTGGGGCCCAAGCATGGTGCGGATGGAAGCAGAAGTTTCAGATTTTCTGCTGTTTCTACGGGTTGCAGGTGATGGCGAAGTGTGACTGGCCGTTGTCATGAGGGTCGCTGTCACCGCGAGCTCGTGGTTGTTGGGACACCCTGAACCTTGTCGGTCCTTGCCGCTCAATGCAGGGGTCTTCTGAAGGTTGGCGGCCAAATGCTTCGAATGGGGTTGCTCGTGTCTGCCCGTGAGCTGCGGATCATCCCCCTAGCTTGCCTACACCGCGGCAATAGCCAGAACACGGCACGTGAAACATGCTAAAAGCAACGTGCGACCGAACGAGGTGATGTGGCCTCGCAGGCCCAAGTCAGCACAATGGCAAGCGATTTTGCAGGGGTCGGCTCGGCCTAATGGCAGCTTTGCTACATGATGACACAGCGCTTTGTTGATTTGGTTTCGCTGTTATACATCTGTTACGGGTGCGAATTTGGGGCTGGGCTGGGCTGGGCCGGCTGTGGAAGGCGGGCTGGAAGTTTTGAGGGAAAGATTTGCGATTGGCATTGGCGAGTTGAGGATGGGCCGGGCTGGGTTGGTTGGGAATATCGACTGGGGCTGGGGCTTGGCTGCGCCCTCTTGGGAGTTTTGAGCGGGCTTTGTTCTGCTCTGGGGCCGGGTTGGGCTGGCGATGGCCGGCTGTGCTGGGCTCTTCTCATGCTGGTGCGGGTGCTTGCTTGCTGCTGCTGTTGGTAACCGCGCCTGCCGTTCGTGACGTTGCTTGTGTGCTCTTTTCCTGCCATTCAACAGTTTTCACAGCTGCGCTGTCATGGTGCACAATTTCTATGTATCCTGGTCTTGAAGGTTTAGATTATGGTTTGGATGTACGCTTTAAGGTTTAAGGTTTTTAAAAAGCAGGAGCGGGTTAACATAAGCGGTGTTTAGGCACTAGAGAAACAAATTGAATCTAAGAACCTAAAATCCCCGCACCCCGAACCTTAGAGACACTTAGGAGCCCGGAGCCTTAAATCCAGAAACGACCAAATCCAAAACCCTGAAGCCATAAGCCATAAGCCGGCCCGAGACCCTAAGCCCGAAGCCCAAAACCCGAAACGTTCAACCTTAACCCAAATCCGATACCCCACGCCCTAAACGCAAAATCCTAAACCTTAAACCTGAAACCCCAAACCTTAAGTCCTCAGACTCACGGTGCTTTCAAAGCGCAGGAGGGGGAGGCCAGAAGCAGCCAGACGGATGCGTCAGGACGCTGTCCACCTTTCGGATTGGGTGTATGGTCTGTAAGGGTGGTTTAAGGGTTTAAGGCTTTGGGGGTTTAGGGGCTACAGGATAGGCTTATGGGCGGTTCTGGAGTGTTGAGCAGCACCGAGAGGGCTTCCAAAATCGTCATGCATATGTGGCCTGTTGGCGTGAATTTGAATCTGCTGCAGTCGATTTCGGCCGATACTTCCACGCCTCCACCACGCACAATTGCGCCAACAACTTCTCTGTGCCATCAGGTGGCTGGGACTCAGGTCCAGTGTTTATTTTCAGGGACTCAGGTTCCGTTCCCCCTTTTTTGAATGGCCTTGTACTTTCTGCAGAAAAATTGAAAGTACGTGTACGCTGAGGAAGGAGCACGAACGCTGTGCCGTGGAAAGAAAGGCGACAGCTTGAACGCATGTATGTAGGTACATAAAAACATTTGTAGATATATATGTATATATGTATATATGTATATATGTATATATGTATATATGTATATATGTATATATGTATATATGTATATATGTATATATGTATATATGTATATATGTATATATGTATATATGTATATATGTATATATGTATATATGTATATATGTATATATGTATATATGTATATATGTATATATGTATATATGTATATATGTATATATGTATATATATATATATACATATACATATATACATATATATATATATACATACACACATACATATGCGAACACAAAGCGTGTACACGTTTCCCTCCCTCCCTCCCTCTGTACCACCCAGGCAAGCAGCCAGGTAGGCAGGCAGGCAAATAAGCAGGCGAATAGGCAGGCAGGCAGGCCGCAGGCGGGCAGGCAGGCGGGCGGGCGGGCAGGCGGGCAGGCGGGCAGGCAGGCAGGCAGGTATGCTCACACACATGTATGCATACATGCATACATGCATACTTGTATACATGCATAGATGCATACATGCATACATGCACAGATGCATACACGCATTCAGGCATACATACATACATACATACGTACATACATACATAAATACATATATACGGATGTCCGTACACACATGTGCAAACATATGTGTATTCATACATACTCGATGTTTTTGTCTGGTCATGTCGATGTCGGAGCTTGTCGAATGATACAAACACATAAGCATTGAAAGCGTAATGCGTGCAGGTAGCAGGCCCGTTTCCAGCCCCCCAGGCTACTACCTTCGTCGCGGAGCGGAGTTTCTGACTTGTGACGGCTTCTGCGACGAGCAGCGGGACCTCGCCGCCTCGAAGCATGTAGACATTACCGCTTCATTTTCGCTTTTCTGCTTGTCTGCTGACCATCATCGTACTGTTTGGTTCTCTTATTGTTACGATTGCTGACGTTCTTCCTTTTTTATTGGTGCGATTACATGTTTAGTATACACTAGTACAATGTGAACATATTCCCTTTTCGTTGAAGCCGCCCTTTGATGCCAAGCATTTCTGCTGCCCCTAAACTTTAAACCCTAAACCCTTAACCCTCAACCCCAAACCCTAACCCCAAACCCTGAAGCCCAGGATTTCTGCTGCCCCTAAACCTTAAACCGTAAACCCTAAACCCTTAACCCTTAAGGCCCAAACCCTAAACTCCTAAACTCCGAAACCCAAAACCCTAAACCCCTACACCCCTAAACCCTAAACCCCAAACCCTAAACCCTTAACCCTTAACCCTAACCCTCAAGCCCTGAAGCCAAGGACTACTGCTGCAGGCCGGACGGTGGTCTAGTTGTGTCCGGCCAATGGACTCCTCCCGATGCTATGGTGTGCCTGAGCCAAAACCGCGGCTCGAGGGTTTCAGGCGGTTTAGGAGTCTTTTAGAGGGTGCTATAAGGGTTTCTTTAAGGGGGCCATAGGGTTTATGGGGTTCAGGGATTCAGGCTTTTTTGAAGATTTCGGGGGTTCGGGGATTTAGCGTTTTTTTGTTTTTGAGATTCGGGGGTTCACGGATTTGGGGTTTGAGGTTCCTGAGATCATTGCTGCATACCTCACTTCGTGTCCGGGCGACGAGATAAAAGTCAACTCCCGTGAGACAGGCTTTGTCCGGCGAATATACAGGTGGATCGCTTGGCAAGCTCCTCGCTTAGCCCAAACCCTCGATTGGGACTGTACACAGCGCCTGCCACGGTTCCTTTTCAATCGAGACCGAGCTAAGGAGCACGGATTGGCAAGACGGCTGCCTGAAGGGCGAGTCCAATGGCAGCGTGCCAGTCTCCATTTCCTTGATCCTCTCCTTTGGCAGGCGACTTGGACTTGAGCCTTTTGGGGCTTGAATGTAGGGGGCTTGAATGACTACCTATGCCATTTTAGGGGGTCTCCTTACTATAGCTATAGTATGATGGGCACCAATACCCAAGTCTTCTTACTAAGGCCCCTATGCTAGGGTTCAAGAGTCCGTGAAGGCTTCGGGCTGAGATCTGACCATCTTTCCAGAGCTTGGCGAAGGTCGTCCCTCCCCGTGAGCATCCTCTCCATCTCGGATGAGTTTCGTCAACCGGCGCCAGTGCTCAGATTAGTGAGACTTCCTGGCTTCCAGGCCTTTGCAGGTGGTCACCGGGTCTTGGGGAGGTACCGTTTTGGGGTGGTGTTGTTCTAGACCAGAATGCCACGGGACTTTGCAAGGATAAGGGAATCCTGCGATTCTCGGGTGTTGCCGAAGATGGGGGCCACTGAGTCTTGAGATCGAACCCCTAAACCCTAAACCCTTAAACCCCAAACCCAAAACTCCTAAACTCCTGAACCCTTTAACCCTAAACCCCTAAACCGTAAACTCCCTAAACCCTTAAATCCACTCTTTAGAGACTTCCTCTGTTGGCAAGGACTTCATCGTTCAAGGGCATCGCATCCCTGCAGAACTTGCTCAAGCTGACATGCTTCCCGATGGAGCCATAGCTCCCTCGCTTGATTCACAGCAGCCTAAACTCCTGAAACAAGCCGCCGTCGCTGAGAACCCTAAATCTGAAACCCCATCCCTTAAGCCCCAAACCTTAAACCCTAAACCCTAAACCCTATACCCTAAACCCTTAGGGCTCAGGGCGGGGCAAAAACCAAGTCAGGCAAGTCTGGCGCTCCTAGAGCACCCGCACCCGCTGAGTTGCTGAACGCTTGGTGCTCCACCTTTGAGGACAAGACTGCAGTCTTGTCTTAGCATTCCCCAACAGTTCGACAGGCTATGACTGTCTTATTGGCAACAGTCGTTTGTGCATGCCCCGTCTTTCTGATTTCAGCGGCATGTCGCTCGTTTTCGAGACCACGAAAGCAGAGGGATACATTGAACGCAAGCAGAAAAGACGCCTTCCCAATGGGACACGGGTCCGTCGTAGTAGATCCTGAATCCCAAACACAGACCCAAGCTGCAGGTTATTGCCTGCAGCTAATTTTGCCGCTTTCAAGGCCTGTCAGCGGCCATCTTTCACGAGTCGATGTTCCTGGATCAGCTGTTGTCGCAGTCCTGCATGTCGACATTCAAGAATGTATTCCTTGGCACCCGCGCGTCTGACCTTGGGCGTTGTTTGGGTGGCCATGTAGCCACGCCCTTCTTCCCCGGAGGCGCAGCTGCCGGCAGCTCCGACTGCAGAGCCGCGGTTTAAGATCTTGGCAAGGAAATGGCTAGGATTCGGCACATGAACTGTGCTTGGCGATGCAGTCGAGAATTGCGGCGGCTAAGACGCAAGTTTATGCAAGATACAACAAGCCATGCAAAGCTTCAGGCTTTTCACAAGAGAGTCCTCTTTCGTTACAGTGCACTGGGCTCTGCAACCGTAGGAAAAACACCTGGCGGAAGCTACGTGGCGGAACACCACCGTTGCATGCCGTTGACACACAAGTGTTGCAGCATCAAGCAGGTCTGGCAGCAAGCGGTCGCAGCTTCCAAAAGTGACATCCGCACCAGCACGATTGCAAGCGAGGCCGGGATCGGAACCGGTTGCTCTGAGTTTCAAGCATGTTCTTGTCCGGATGTTCGGTGGTGAGTTTTGCAGGCTTCAGGACTATCAACTTTTTTTTTATCGAGGCAGTCGAGAATTGCGGCGGCTATCGCCAACTCCTAAGCATTCTCGTCAGAATCTGCCATCCGTTGCATCTCTGAGCATCGGCCCTGGCTTGGCCTTTCTCAGGGGGATGGGAAGACGGCATAGAAGAATGGCAAGAGTTGGATCTGGAGCAATGATCATTGATTGCGAGGCCTCCATGGAAGGGCTCGTCGTCGACGTAGAGGTAAAATACGCTGCAAAAACAAAGGGTGGACTCGGGCCGCATTCTGTGCTGAAATACAGTTACACCACTGATCGCAAATGGGCGGTTAAAGATCCCGAGACAAGGCAATTGACTGGAGGCACGGAGTGGGAGAGCGAACAGAGCTGGATATAAGCTCTGAGCCTGAGCCGTGTCGCCCATGCCCCGCCGGACCGGAGCATGCTGGCAATGAAGCCGCAACACCTCCACAGGTGCCCTTCAGTGTTGTGCGCCAAATCTACGATAGGTGGATTCAGGGACCTCTGCGGGACAGCACGGTGATCGAGATCTATGGCAAGGAGTGGATGCGAACATTTGAAGCCATACGAACGCAGGGTTTGGCTCAGTCACGACACCTACTGGCCGGCTTGGTGGAGTGGGATGTGGAAGAGCTGATGGGGCTCTGCGAACTGGACACGCAACCGGTAGCAGGGATGCACCTCGTTGGTTTTGGTCAGGGATCGACGAATGAAGCAGCCAATGCGGATGTGGCTGCAGGAACGTGCATAGATGCTGAATCGGGGGCTGAGATTGAAGAGGAGAGTGGCAAGACGGGCAGTGAAGGTTCTAACTGAGGTAATCTGGCCAACAGGCCTTCTGCAATGCAGATTCCAGACACCTAATCAGGCGGACGGGAAAAGGCGTTCAAAAAAACCCTATACCCTAAACACTATAATTACCTTAAATCTTACGCCCTAAACCTTCAGAACGCGCCTGTTTGAAACCCTAAACCCCCAGGGGTCTCCAGATCCCAGCACAAGCAAGCTGGTGGAAACAGCAATTCAAAAAGATCCAGGCAGCTTTAAATTAAGCCTTGAATCCCAAAGAGCGGTCTGTGGTTCCGGCTCCGGTTCCTGTGCGTTTGAAGCTTCTATTCTACCTTTCGAAATCTTTTCGGAATCCCAACCCTATACCCTAAACCCTAACCCCCAAGAAGGCATTCGAGGTTGGAAAGTGCTTGGGATTTACTCGTAGGCTCCTGCGGATTTCGGGCGCTTTGCCGCTCCTTTCGGCATTTTCGAGGGCTGGCAACCTTTTAGAGGGCTTGGGCATCTTGCCGGCAGAAGGGTTCAGGTTTGGGGGTGGCTCAGGGTTTAGGGTTTAGGGTTCCGGGTTGGTTAAAGATACGTTTTGGATGGAGTGATTTTGCAGAGGAATTTTGGGGCTCAAGCGAAAAACCCTTTATCCGAACCTTGTCTGGGCCTGGATCAGAACCTTGTTCGCTTGGGAGTCATGACATAGAAGTCCCGCTGGCGACCTAGTACAGTAAGTAGGCCTTATCTGATTTAAGTTGCGAGCCAGTGCAGGTCATGGTCAGTGACCTTTCTTGTGACCCTGTTTGCTGAGTCGCCTATTTTTCAAGTAGGTTTCAGGGTTGATGGTTTCGGCCGTTGTGTAAGCAGGCAGAGAGTCAAGACTGATTCACATTGTCGCACTCCTGCTTGTGGAATGAAGGTTACGTACAATCAGAACTACCTTTCAGCCTCCAGCTGGAGTATCTGTATCCGGCAGAACTGCACCGCCCCTTAGCTTCGCAGCGTGTTTTTTTTGACTCGTTCATGTGAGAATTTCCGAAAATTAGGGGTACCTTATTTTGGGGTCCTTATAATAAGGATCCTACTATTTGGAGTACCCAAAAGGGGGCCTAATTTTGACAACTACCCATGTGTCCTGAAGACTGACGCCTTTCCTGCGGAGTCAGCTGCTCAAGGCTGCCTGAATCAACAGTTGAAACCATGGACAATGTCTGACATGGAGTGAAGTTACCTATGGTTCTCAAACTACTCAAACTCTGATTTCCGCACCCTCACATTGCACTGCAGGGGTGGCGAATTATTTCTGGTTTGCCTTGGTGGTTCGTCTCTTGGGTCGGGGTTGCCAGTCGGCTGGTCGATGTCTAAGGTCTTGTCAACAAAAGCTGACTTGGGAGTTCCCGAAAATTAGGGGTAGCTTATAATAAGGATCCTACTATTCAGGGTACTATATTAGGGTCCCCTGTTTTCGGAAACTCCTATTTATGAATTTAGCTGAAGCTTCCATACACCCAGGGAACCAATATCCATTGACCATGTGAGGCCAGGAGTTGCGTGTGTTATGTTCGGACTCTTTATTGCTTGAGGCTGTCCGTGTGCCCCCGACAGTGCACGTTCAAAGACCCTAAACCCTCAACTCTGCACCCCGTAAGACCAATCTACACCCCATTGTATAGTACCCCGAGCCCCATAGACCACATTACAGAACCCATTGTACCCCTCAAACACAAATCGCCGAATCCCATAGTGCCCATTCATGCCCATTCTAGAACCCTTTTTGCAACTCATCTCAAAGGATAAAACACAGCATAAGACAATCCAGGCCAATGCAATACAAGATATGGTATTACTTAATACAATCTACTGTAACATAATAGAAGCTATCTCTTGATGAAAAGGAAGCCCAGACTACCCTAAACCCTAAGCCCTAAACCCTAAAAACCTAAACCCTAAACTGTGAGACTCTTGAGGCGTTGACTTGCCCAGCGACGTACAAGCAGCGGGCAGGCGAGAACTATTGCATCCATCAGCACCTTGGACCGTTTCGGGGATGCCCTGCCCAGAGACCCAATACCCCTTAATAGAGGATTATACCGCAAATCGTGATATTCAGCCCTCTACAATTTAAGGTATATCTAATTGCGGGGTGTTGGGATTTTTGGGCGCCTTTTTGTTTGTTTGGTTTTGGGTGTTGTCAGTTCTGTTACGGCAAGGACTGTAGCTTGTTACAAGGTCGTATGACGGGTCATGTTCCATCGATGATTGTTGTTCTTTTTTCTGATCATCATTCATCGGCTCTTCATTTTCACGATGATTGTTCTCATTCGATCGATCATTCATCGGCTGCGTCGCTTGAGGGTCTGCAGTGCGGACAACAAGGAGGACGTGGCGGCCTGCTGCGAGAAGCAGGCCTTCAGGGCTTCCCTTAAGGGGCTCCCGAGAATCGGGGACCCCAATATAGTACCCTTAGTAGTAGGATCCTTATTATGTGGACACCAAAAGAAGGTACCCTTATTTTTCGGAAACTCCCATAAGGGTCTCAGGATGTTATCAGGGTTTGTGTTTGAGAGCAACCCTCTTCGGGTTCCGTAGTGGGTTCGATAGGGCCCGATAGCGTTTGCTGAGGTCTCCATGGAGTCAAGACTCAGGATCACCAGAACCTCCGACAAGAACTCCACAGTTGAAAGCTGATATGAATCGAAAAAATGTCGCCTCTCGCCGGCACCTTGACAGTTAGTAGAACAAGCCCATTCCAGAGCAATTCACGGCTGTTTTCACCGCAGGAGCGAGTGTAGATGAGCCCGATTCCTTGCACAGGCAGATCTCCGTTCGGACATTCTCTTTCAAACGCAGTGGACCAGCGTCTTCGATTTGCTGCACCTCGACCACCCAGATCGCAAGGTCAAAGGCTTGTGCATGCAATGCTACGAAAGCACAACATTAGTAACACTACATAGTAGAAACAATAGCATATTACAGTGTGCAAACCCTAAACCCTAAACCTGAAACCCTAATATTACATAGAAAACTAGGGGCTGAGGCTGAGTTGTCTGCTGGGGACTTCAAGAAGCCTGGTTCATGGTTTAGGCTTAAGGTTTAGGATGGTAGGGTATGGCGTTCTTCAGGGCGAGGCCGGGGGGGTGTTCTTTGCGGGATCCCTTTTTTGGGCTCCTTCAAGGGCTCCTTAACTTAGTAGTAGAGTAGGGAACCTTTAACTTTTTTTGGGTAGTATAGTCCCTATATAATTCCTATGTAACCAAAACAGTTAACCTTCAGCTCCCCATGATACCCGACAAGTAGGAAAGGGTCCCTTCAAAGGGATCCTGAGGCTTTCTTTTAAAGGGATTTATAAGGGTTACTACTTAAAGGATCATGGGACTTAGTTAGTGGGCTTATAAATAAGGTAACTACACTTATAACGACTTATAACCCCAATTAAGGTACTTATAACCTTACTTACTAAGTCCCCTGATCCTCCAAGTATAAGGGGTTCCTTTAAAAGGGTTAAGACCCTAAACTCTAAACCCCTAGACCCCTAAAGCCCTAAACCCCAAAACCCCTAACCCCTAAACCCCTAAACCCCTAACCCCTAAACCCCTAAACCCCAAAACCCCTAACCCCTAAACCCCTAAACCCCAAAACCCCTAACCCCTAAACCCTCTAGATCCCTTTAAGGAACCCCTATGGATCCCTTCAAGGAGCCCTTTAACGGAGCCCTTTTAAGGAACTTCACTTACTAAGTCCCATGATCCTTGAAGTAAGGCCTGCTTGGAGGCCCTGTTGACTTAGTAAGTCTACTTAGTATCCCCTAGAAACCCTATTATAATCCCCATAACCCACCTTACGAACCCTACTTACTAAGTCAAAAGGGCCTCCAAGTAAGAAACCCTAAACCCTATAGATCCCTTTAAGGAACCCCTATAGATCCCTTTAAAGGGACCCCTTTAAAGGAACCCCTACTAAGTCAAAAGGGCCTCCTTCGGTGCCCTCCTCCCGAGGCCTCGGGCTGAAGTCTGGGGCCTGGACGTTCTGCGGCAGCTCCAGGTCCAGGTCCCGGCTCCTCGGTTGAAAGCAGTAAACTCTCTGGGTTTTTCGGTTTTTTTTTTGGGGTTTAGGAATTTAGGGGTTCTTAATCAGGTTCCTGAACCCTAAACCCTAAGCCCCTAAACCTCTAAACCCTTAACCCTAAACCCTTAAGCACTAAACCCTAAACAGGCCGATGCGGATGCGGCCGCTGACCTTGACCTGGGTAACCGGCTAGTCTGCGTGGCTGAGACCCTGGCTTCCTCGCACTTCTACGGAGACCTCTGCATCTTGGACTTTTGGAATAGGGGTACTATAGGTTAGAAGCTGCCCCCACCCTGTAATAGTGACTATAAGGATTATAATAGGGCCTTATTATATTCCTATTATACCACTATTACAGGGTGGGGGCTCCTTCTAAACTATAGGGTTCTTTTAAGGGGGTTACTACAAGGGCTCTATAATAGGGAGATAGGAGCCTTAATGATTATTTTTGCCGGGAGGGTCGGGGGAAGTTCGGGAAGAGCAGGTGCCGGCAGGCCATCCGGATGGGATGTCTGCTTGCTAGAGTTTGGGCTTTTTGCCCCTCACCGCATGCTGCAGTCTTCTTATATATATATATATATATATAAATACGTATATATATATATATATATATATGTGTCACTTGCACAGTCTGGGCAAGTTTGTGTTGTGACATGTCCTCTATGTCCCTCCGCAGTGCATGAGTCAAGCTTCAAAAGCCCCATTCAGGTATTTCATACATGCACTATGCGCTGAATACGCTCAATTGGCAGACTACCTCCTCGCCGTTCATCGTGAGCGTCGTGCGCTCAGTGGTTGTTTCGACGCAGGCGATTTCCACCCTTTCCCTCGCAGAGAGAATCCGAGTTACCTGCGACTCCGTGTGGGCTCGTGGAGCCAAACTTCAACTTCGCTCCAAGAGTCCTAGCCTTCAAGCCGCACGCCCATCCATGTGAGTGCCTGTTTAAGGTCGCTGAAGTGGGACAGACGCTGTCTCGCGTCTACCTCAACCAGCCGAGGCCCACTGTGCCTGGTGCCGCACAGAGGCCTAGCCCGATCTCGAAGGGGAATCCTCTTTGAACACATCTGCGAGTGTGTATGTAGATACTAGATGCGGGACAACATCTACGATGGCGACTGCTTCTGCTACTGCCACTGCTACAGTCACGACTACCACTACCACCACTGCTACCGCTGCTACCCCTGTTACTGCCACTACCACCACCGCGACGACGACTACTGCCGCCACCGCTACGGCTAAAGCAGCTGATGCTGCTAGCTGCTGCGACTGCTACTGCTACTGCTGCTGCTGCTGCTGCTGCTGCTACTGCTGTTACTGCTCCTACTGCTGACGTACTTATGTTTGTACGCATGTAGGTGTGCATGTTCACATGTACGTCTGCGTGTATGCATGCTACCTACAAAGTACGTATGTTTATATGCATGTATGTAAGTATGTTTGTACCTATGTATGTACGTACATACATTTGTATGTATGTATATATGTATGTATGTATGTATACATGTATGTATGTATGTTTGTATGTGTGTTTGTGCCTACCGATCTGTCTATCTGTCTATCTATCCATCTATCTATCGCTGTATTTCTTAATCTGTTTGTCTTTTTACGTATGTCTGCATGTATGCACTGTTCGACGTCTCGATGTATCGATGTCTCGATGTATCGATGTCTCTAGGTATCTGTGTATCTATGTACCGATGTATCTATGCATCTATGTACCTGTGTATCTATGTATCTCAGTATTTTTGCATGTATACCTGCATCATGCATGCATGCAGGAGGTAGTCAGGTAGGTAGGTTGGCATGCAGATTTACAGAGAGAGAGAGAGAGAGAGAGAGAGAGAGAGAGAGAGAGAGAAGCATGCGCGCACGAATGCGTTGGCTCATCATTGTTTCAATCATACCGGGGCTTGGTGAGGCAGGTTTCTGCATTTTCAATCCCAGGTGGTTCTCATCTGTGGCTCTCTGAACTTCTATGCGAGCTGCTAAGACAGCATTGCGGATGACTTCGGCATGAAGGTCCGTCTGAGCGCTCCAGTAGTGACAGCCGAGACCGTTGAAAAGAGGCACGACATGGCACGACACCATTCGGTGTGCACACCCAGGTAGCTTCTTCTTCATGAAGATGAATCAGATTGTGTTCCGCTCTGTGCAGTGCTCGGCCATCAGTGGGGGGTCGCAGTGGGCACGATGGTCAAGTCTTCCGTTCACAGCAGCTCACAGCCCTCTGCAGGTTATCTCCTGGGCGCCCTGGGATAAGCATTTACTGGATGCAGTGGGTGCAGGACCGGCAGCGTCACTTCTGGACTCCTGGATGGGGACCTGATATTCTGGACAGCCTCAGCTTAAGCTTGTCTCGGCTCCCAGGCATTTCTGCATCCCCAGGTGCATCTCAGACATCTGCAAATGCAGGCAACAATTGCATGCACCTGCCTGTGCCAGTTTCCCAGACGAAACAGCTCGCCAACAGGTTCCTTCTATCTTGGATGCCTCTCCCAGAAAGACTGGTCGACCTAAGCCCTAAAACCTTTTTTAAGGGTTCCTTCAAGGGTTCCTTTTAGGGATCCTTTAAGAGATCCCTTTAGGGATCCTTTAAGGGATCTACCTTGCTGCATCCTGAGCCCTGACTCCCATATAGTAACCTGCATAATACACGCTATAACTCCTGTAGCAACCCGATCAGCAACCCGTGTAGTGACCCCGATCGTAAACCTATATCTTTATGATACCCTGACCCCTTGAACCCTCAATTGCTGCACCCTTAATTCTAAAATGAGTTAAAGCCTTGCACGGGACTGAAGTTAAACCCTAGGCCTTAAACCCCAAAGCGCAAGTCGTTGTAACGTGTATCGTGTCCCTTTGATAGTCCGCTTCGTGACCCGTATAGCAGCCGCCTTACAGTTACCCCATACACCTCCCAATTGTGACACCATAAAACCCTATACACCCCCTGACCCTAAACTAATCCTCTAGAACACCATAAATTATAAAGCTCCTATTGAAACCCAAGGTCATCCTTCAGAAATCCTAAAGACCCCCTCTAAAGTTCTGCCCCAAGGCACGTTACTATACTTATAATTGCTTATAACCCCAATTAAGGTACTCATAACAGAGAACGTCACTAACTAAGTCCCATGATCCTCCAAGTATACCCTAAACCCTAAACCCTATAGATCCCTTTAAGGAACCCCTATAGATCCCTTTAAGGAGCCCTTTTAAGGAACCCCACTTACCAAGCCAGGAGGGAGCTCTCTGAAGTACCGCTTCCTGGAGCCTGTGCCGTGGCCTTCCACGAGCCCAGAATGCATCTTTTCGGGGCTTTGGGGTTCAGGGTTGTAGGAGGGTTTGGGGGGTTTAGGGATTTAGGTTTGGGGTTTAGTAAGGTTTAGGGTTTAGGGGTTTAGGGGTTTAGGGTTTAGGGTTCAGGGCGGTTTGGGGTTCAGGGCGGTTTGGGGTTTTGGTTTTGGGGTTTCAGACTTTTCAGGCTTGGGGCGGGGTTTAGGTGTTTTTGATATAGTAAACCTTATGGGGTTTCAGTGTTTTGTAGTACTATGTTTTGTAGTAACCCTTTGTACTGGCCTTGTAGTAAGCCTTTTAGTAATCCGTAGTGGTGGCCTTTTTGTAGCCCTTGCAGTAACATTTATAGTGACCTTCTAGTATGTGGGCGGCTGTCGCTGCTGGGCTTTGGAAGTACCAATACAGTAGCAAGAGCATGAGAAACAGCAGCAGAAGTAGTGGCTGCAGTAGTAGAAGCAAAGGCAGAAGCGGAAGCAGGAGCAGAAGCAGGAGCAGTAGCAGTGGCAGTAGAGAGTAGTACTGCTCACATGACTGAGAATAATCACGACCATATAAATGTTCACCATAGCACTGGTACTAGTAATAGAGTTCAGAATCAGAGTAAGAATAAGGGTGAGAACAAGAAAACAACAAGGGTAATGATAATTATCAGAATATGAGTATGTATATGAGCAAGACCAAGCATCATGAAGTATTCTCGCTGCCGGTATTGGGATTATTCTTAGTGTTTGCGTTGCGGACCTGTGGCACGGATCTGCGTGGCTCAGGACGTGGACACCTCCATGTGGGAGTTTCCGAAAATAGGGGTACCTTATTTTGGGCTCCTTATCATAAGGATCCCACCATTTAGGGTACTGTATTGGGGTCCCCTATTTTCGGAAACTCCCATGTGGGTTTTAGGTTTAGGCAACATTCCTGCTCTTGCAGCACCTAAAGCAGCCCAAAGACGGCCTAGGACGGAGCTGCTCCGGACCGGCACTGCCAACGCTGATCCCTTCACCGTGCCCTGACTAACCATTAATATTGGAGGAGCTAAGGAGCAAGGGGTGATGATAATCCCTACTTAATGTGGAGCTAAAGAGCCAAGGGAACCCCAAAACCATTGGTTAGCTGATGCACGGACTCAGCTTATGTCGCACACCGCAGAAGCCCAGTTCATGCGAGGTGGTCGGACTTTCGGTGGGCAGAGAGCATGGTTCAATCCGCCAATGCCCGTCCTGAGGTGCTGCGTAGCTTGCAGGAGGACTTTCAGACTGTTTTCAACAAGGACAGCTTGGGTAGGGAAGTCCCCGCTGATACGCTGCGAGCCGTTGCATTCTTCACAAAAACATAGAGCGAAGTATGGAATCCAACATGTAACCCGGCATCGCCGAACACCACGGTGCACGGACCGTACACGGTGTCTAGAGGGTGGCAGTTTTCTTTGCATCTTTGAAGATTCGCTTCGCTCAGTGTGGGAGAATGCTCGAAAGGCTTTCGGGTCAACTTCCTTTTTAGTGGTTTTTCACCACAATCAGCTTCGCTTTCGTACCAACAGGGGTTCTTTGCATGCAATAGTCAATAGTCTTGCTTGGGGAGCAGCGATACAAAAGCTTTCCACATTGGGTTCGCCATCAGCATCCCGTTTACGAAAGGAAGAGTTGCAGCTGCAACCCCAGCGCAAGATCACAGTTGCAAGCCGAGTGTTGCGGGGACACCATTCACCATCGTGCACCGTGCCATCCTTGGAAGTATAGCTGCGTTTTGGTTTGGTGTTTGACAGCTTGGGAATCCTGACGCCTCTCTGAAGGGTTTAGGGTTTAGGGTTTGCTAAACCAGGAAATGGCCCGCTACGGCAGTTTCCCTGCCCCGCTGCTGTTCCTGATGTCGGCCGCTTGCCTAAGTTGTACCAGTACTGGACGTGCCGGCGTGCCGAAATCCTGTGCCGCGCTCTTCTCTCCCTGCTTGACCCTAAAGCCTAAACCCTGAACCGGAAACTTTCAACCCACTCGTCTTTCCTTCGCCTCCTTGCATTTTCTCATGGTCGTGCTGGATCCATGTGGGTGGTTGGTTGTCCAAATTAGGGCCCCTTTTTCGGTCCCAATTATACTACGGCACTTAATATTTAAGGTACCCAAAAAGGGACCATAATTTTGACAACTCCCCATGTGGCTCCGGCACTGATCTGCCTTCACGCTTGTTTTCAGCAAGCCGCCGTACATTGTAACATAGGGGCTGCAACAATTACCTATACTATCTTGGGGTTCCTTCCTATAACAATAGGATACTACACCCCAAAACCCTATTCAAGTTATTATATAGGGCCTCTACTAAACCCTTATGCTACCCCTCATCGTGACCCTTATAGATCCCCTTACAAGCACCCTTTAAAAGGAACCCTATTCTGATCATGAAGGCCCCTATACTATACCTTTCTGGAAACCCTTTAAAGGAACCCTGCTTAGGAACCCTATTCTGATTATGAAGGCCCCTATACTATACCTTTCTAGGAGCCCTTTAAAGGAACCCTGTTTAGGAACCCTATTCTAATTATGAAGGCCCCTATACTATACCTTTATAGAAACCCTTCTAAGGAACTGTTGAGGAACCCTATTCCTTTTATTAAGACCCCTACAGACGAGGCCTGGCAAGTCTTCGACACCCTTGCTCTCGGCTTTGTGGCGTCGCTTGGAGGGTTTAGAGTTTAGGGTGTCCGAGACCCTAAACCCCTAAGCCCTCATCCCCGTCGAAACCCCGGAACTCCTGCTGAACCCGACAGTCCTAAAACCCTAAAACCACCGAAGTTCTAAACTCCCAGACCCCTGGACCCTAAACCTCCAAACCCCCAACCCCAATCCTAAACCGTGGAGTGTGTGGCTCCGTAAGCGAAGTGGCATCAGGGCCCCAGGCAGAGAATCTTGAGAGCACGAGACCATCTGTAACCTTGAAGCAGATGGTTTAGAGTTTAGGATTGGGGTCTCGGGTTTAGCAAGCTTATTGATCGCTGCATGGCATGCAGCCACTTTGAAACAGGGGTACGGGTCGTCTGCTGGATCATTACGTCCCCAACGAAACGAGAAATCGTTGTCTTCAGAGAACACACAAGACGAGCGTCCGAAAACAAACGCATGTGGGGTGATGTTCGTGTTCAGCCAAGTAAGCCTTTGTCGCTGGCATTGCTGGGGGGTAGATCTTGCGATCTGAGCCAGCGTCTTGAATATAAAGGTGGCAAGCAAGTCGGGCGCTTGACTGCAAAGACTTTGAGAAGGATGCTTGCCGAAGCAGCTACAATGATGCTGGAAGTCAAGGTCGGGGAGGGCCAGACAAACAAAGCATGGCCCCGCCGACTACAATAAGGAGGAGATGACAGCTCTGACCGAGTTGGAAGATGCAAGGTCCGCGAAGGCAGTGGAGGCAGGACTGGATAGTGATGGCTTGCACCCCCGTGTTGTCCGTGCTCTTTGCGGCGGTGCACGACGAGGCCGTGAAGCTGTTGGAATCCCACCATGATTTTTGGCAACGTGGGATGGCACATTTCGCCGAAGAAAGGTCCGGGTGCCCCTCCGCGGGCAAGATTTGCCATCCTCATCGAAGAGGGCATTCTGCCTTTAATACCCTGGAGCAGCGCCGGCGCAATCCGCTTACACAAGGAACCCAATACGAGCCCCGGAAGGCTTCGCGGAAGCCCTTGACCACGGCAGATTCTCCAAGGTTCGAGTGGAAATTTGGCAGTTTTTGTTGGTCTCGAGCGACGTTGCAGCTTTGGGACCAACTGGCCTGCTCAGCATTCCGACAGCCTTGAATTCTTGAAACCGAAAATCGCAAGCGCAAGCTATGTGAAGAAGCATAGGACAATTAGGGTCGGGAAACAATGGCCCTGAAACCCCAACCCTAAATCCTACCGGGAACTCCAGAAAGTTGGAATATGGTTTCATGGTAGGATAGGGCCCAAATCGCCTGCGCAGGGCAGGAATATTGTAGGCCCCAGCACCCGCCATGGGTGCGTCTGCCGGCTACGGGCAAGCAGTGCATAGCGGCAAGTGTGCCATGCACAAGCTGGGCATTCAGGTTTTGCATTCACCCGACATGATGGCGATCATGGACGCAAAGGACACACTGTGTAAGGTGACTTTGTTGAGCATTCGTTCGGAGGACATGCTCGCAGACCACACAGCAGATGAGTTTGCAACTGGCTTCAAAAAGAGGCCGGCTTTTCAGCTGCGCGGCATCAAGCAGAACAGAGGCTCGTCATGCGAGGGAGAATGGATCACCAAGCGGCAACCTAGCAGCTCATGCCCTTCACCTGTTGCGATGGTGTTTACGGGTTCGAAGGACATGCTGTGCAGAGTGGCCATATTGAACATGGGCTGGGAGGACTCGCTCGCACCACTCACCATAAAGGAGTCTGCGACTGGCTTCAAGAAGTCGCTGGCTTTCAGGCCGCACGTCAGGAGAGGGCGTTTGCACCACCAAGCGGCAACCTGGCAGCTCATGCACTTCACCCGATGTGATGGTGTTTATGGGCTCGAAGGACATGCTGTGCAAGGTGGCCATGTTGAACATATGTGTGGAGATGGTTTGGAGGACAATGCTCGCACACTTCACCGTGATGGCTGCCATCAAGAAGACGCCGGCTTTTCAGCTGAGAGGCATCAAGCAGAGCAGAGGCTCGTCAGGAATTTGCGGCTGGCTGCATGAAGACGTCGGCTTTCCAGCAGTGCGCCATCAAGCAGAACAGAGGCTCGTCAGGCCTTCGATCTAATGACGCTGACTCCGCTATCGGGGCTTAGCAGTTCCTGATCATGTAAGTGAGTGATGCTGGAGCGCTTTAGATTTGCGTGTGGAGGTCCTATGGCCTTCATGCTATGGTTGAGTTTGATGTCCCGATATCACCTCGATGAAGGTGTTAGACATCCTGGGTATTGTAACCGTGTAGGAATGGCCTCAGCTGATACCCATGAGGAAGATCCTGCACGTCTTGGGTCCGATATGTGGATCGTACGTTGTCTGATGCATTGATCGCCGTTTACGGAATACAAAGCATCCTTTGTTTGCCGTGCATTCTCAGGCATTCTTCCATGCGCCATCTTTGATTTTGTTGTGGGGTTGGGACAGCTTTTCCGTTTGCTGGTTACATCCCACCCCTGTCCGGTGAGCGCATACTATGTCAATAGATTTCTGCGCCACCCCACTTTCAATTAAATGCAGTTTGAATTCACCTTGCTAGGCGAGCGTCGTTTACCGACTCAACCGCAGAGAATGAACATGGTAGGATACCCTATAATTTACCATAGAAGGGTTGAGGATAATCATATTCCAACTTTCTGGCATTTACCTTAACCACCCCCAAAAAAAAGATGAAATTGTAAGCCCCAAAAAACCGAGGTTTCGGCTTCAGAGCTTCGACCAGGAGCCTTTTGGGCGCTCCACAAAGCTTCGGCTGCTCCTGGGACGACTTGGAGCCTGCTCCGGGAAGAGTTCCAACTTATGTTTTTTTCCTTTTGGATTCAGATGCGTGTGTGTATACACACATATATATATAGTTATATCTATATCTATATATATATATGTATATATATATATATTATATGTATATATAAATATACACATACACATGTGTGTCAATCTGTCTGTTCGTCAGTCTGCCTGTCTGTATGTAGATACGTAGAAACGCGCACAAACACCCACGCCGTAAGAGAAGTCTCGCGCTGAGTCCGGGCCATGCCGCAGGATCGGCATCTCTTGGATGCACGGCTTGTTCTTCAGCCCTTACAGGAAATACGCACGCACGGGACATAGCAGGTAAAGATGCCCAAAGCAAACTCACCATCTTCACCTTCATCCTCATCTTCATCTTAATCACCTTGACCCTCATGACCTTCATCATTACCATCAGAATCACCATCATCATATTCCTCCTCGGCATCATCAGCATCATTACGATCATCATGTCATTCATGTTGAAGCGACCCTAAACCCTAAACCCTAAACCCTAAACCCTAAACCCTAAACCCTAAACCCTAAACCCTGAACTGTGGGTGTTTTCAGCCATGCTTGCGCCGCCTTTTTTCTCAAAGCCGAGGCTAAGAGGTCGGAGGCTGCCCGAACAGAGGGGCCTCGAGTTCAAGACTCTTGGCTCTAGGGTTTAGGGTTTAGGGTTTAGGGTTTAGGGTTTAGGGTTTAGGGTTTAGGGACCTATAACTAACCATTAATATTGGAGGAGCTAAGGAGCCAGGGGTGATGATAATCCCTACTTAATGTGGAGCTAAAGAGCCAAGGGAACCCCAAAACCATTGGTTAGATAAGCCTATAAGTTCCTGTAAGGGATCTATAGGGCTCAAACAAAGGTTTGTTGCGGAATCTATGGGGGCTCTTGTTCACAATGATCATAATCGGGATCTGTAGTAATTACAGAGTTTTATAGTAAACGCAACCGGCGGACGCCGTGCAGTGTGTCGAAGTCAAAAAGGGTCTGCAATAGATCATAAGGTTTCCTTGTTGCGGTAGCTAAAGTTCCTGAAGAAGAATCCAGGACGTTCTTGTCGCCCTCTTTGAGCTTCGATTGGGCCGGCGAGCGGCTGCAGGTGGCGAGGTGCGATGTCTGCAAAGTCCGTATAGAGGCTGACTCGGAGTTTCGGATAGCATGTGGTTTTTTGGCCAAGGGACCCCAACACCCTGCTTTAAACCCGAAAAAACCCCGCTTCCTCTGTTCCGACCTGCTCCGATAACTTTTTTGGCCTTGCTGATCCCTAAACCCTAAACCCTAAACCCCTGGCTGCTCTCAGGGCAGACGTGTCGACCCAGCAGTTCGCAGCTGATGAGATGACCACCGCGATCGCTGGTAGCCTGGCACCAGGGAAGCCTTTTCTAACCATTGATATTATGGGAGTTAAGGCAGTTAAGGAGCCAGGGATGATGATAATCCCTATTCAATACGGAGCTAAAGAGCCAAGGGAAGCCCCAAAACCACTGGTTAGTTTCCCCTAAACCCTAACCTCGTCTGCTGCAGGACGCGTACAAATGCACTGCGAATGTTGGTTGTGCACCACTTTGGAGTTGGACTCCGGCGACGAATGTGCAGTTTTGGTTTGATGACGGAATGTGTTGTCGCAGTCTGCTCAGCACCCCCTCTACTGACTGTTTGGTATGTGTCCATCAAGTCTTTTTGAGCTGTAGCCGCCATCCTTGCTCTGTGCCCTCAGTCCTAAAGCCCAAACGCTTCAATTCAAGCCCAAGGCCAAACCCTAAATTACCCTAACCCTAAACCCTAAACCCTAAACCCTCGGTCGCTGCACTTTAAAAAAAACCCTAAACCCTAAACCCTAATCTGAACCAAAGTAGAGATGACTGAGGTGCCAGCCCAGTCACGGCATGGCAAGCAGCTATGGCGCGTTACACGTATGGCGCTGACCTCAGTGGGCATATATGGGTTTTCCGAAAATTAGGGGTACCTTAATTTGGGGTCCTTATAATAAGGATCCTACTATTTGGGGTCCTATAGTAGGGTCCCCTATTTTCGGAAACTCCCATATAGGTAGGGGTTTTCAGCACTTTGGTGCTTGCCACAGTTTCAAGATCAGGCTTGAAAACACTGAAACCAATCACGGATGGTAGCAACTGCCCTCCCAGCCTCGCAAGGAGGTAAAGCTACGAGGGTTGCAGCACGTTGTTTCTTACAGTCTCTGTGCTTTTCTGCTTCACCCACCCCCCTAAACCCTAAATCCCAAAATCTAAACCCTAAACCCTTAAACTCCTAAACCCCTAAACCCCAAACCCTAAACCCCAAAATCCAAACCCTAGATCTTCCGAACTGAGCACGCAACCCCTGAGAGGCGTGGTGCGTAACCCGGCTGCAGAAGTCATGGCATGACGGTTCAGGGTTGCTTCTTTAGGCTTCGTTTAGGGTTTAGGGTTTAGGGTTTAGGGTCAGAGGATGCGATCGCAATAATATTGATGCTGAAGGTAGCAGCAGCAATAGCCAATCATCCTTCTGCACGCGAGAGATCGAAGAGCTTTTGCAAAGCTCTACCAGGCACTCCAAAGCCCTTCCCTTAAGGTAGGGTTTACTGTCCAGGGCCCCTTGTAGTTTAGTGTTGAGGGTGTAGGGATACCTGGGGGTTCTTTTTGCAGGGCTTACAAGAAACTTGCTGCATCCTTCCATAGTTCAACGTCCCTGCCATCCCCCTGCTATCCCCAGAAAGACAAAATCCGCACCCTTGTATAACCCAAATTCTATATAACCGTGCTACACACCCAACACGAACCCTTACAAGAACCCTGCCGAACCCCAACAGCAACCGGAAAAGATCCCTAAACCCTAAACCCTTACAGAAGCCCGCGTAGAACCTCTAGCGGAGCCTTGTTGCCACTGAGGTCCCGCTGATCAATTCCAGGGGATCCTCTCTCTGGACACCTCGGCTGCGAGCTTCAGCTGATTAGAGCCCTAAACCCAAACCCCCACAGAATCCCTGCAACCCAACGAAGGCTTGTCGGTTCAGAGTAACAACCTTACAGCCTTTACCCTAAACCCTAAACCCTAAACCCTACAACCTAAACCCTAAACCCTAAAACCCTAAAGCCCTAAACCCTTAACCCCTATGAAAAGCCTTAAAGCCCCAAACCCGAAACCTTGAAGCCCTGGAGCCCTAAACCCCTTAAACCTCGAATCCTCAAAACTCCCACGGTAATACTAATATTAATATTTATCGTAATAGTAATAGTAGTATAATAGCAACAGTTATAGTAATAGTAATGTTAATACTTTTTGTAACAGTAATAGTAGTATAATAGCAACAGTAATAGTAATAGTAATAGTACTAGTATTAGTACTAGTAATAGTAGTAGTAATAGTAATAGTAATAGTAATAGTAATAGTAATAGTAATAGTAATAGTAATAGTAATAGTAATAGTAATAGTAATAGTAATAGTAATAGTAATAGTAATAGTAATAGTAACAGTAACAGTACTAGTACTATTACTAGTACTAGTACTAGTACTAGTAATAGTAATAGTAATAGTAATAATAATAGTAATAGTAATAGTAATAGTAATAGTAATAGTAATAGTAATAGTAATAGTAATAGTAATAGTAATAGTAATAGTAACAGTAATAGTAATAGTAATAGTACTAGTGCTAGTACTAGTACTAGTAATAGTAATAGTAATAGTAATAGTAATAGTATTAGTAATAGTAATAGTAATAGTAATAGCAATAGTAAGAGTAAGAGTAAGAGTAAGAGTAAGAGCAAGAGTAAGAGTAAGAGCAAGAGTACCAGTACTAGTAATAGTAATAGTGATAGTGATAGTAAGAGTAAGAGTAAGAGTACTAGTAAGAGTAAGAGTAAGAGTAAGAGTAGGAGTTAGAGTAATAGTAATAGTAATTGTCCTACAACTCCCGCAGCCTAGAGCTCCAAGGCCCAACTCACACGCCCCTTGGAGCCCTAAAGCTTCAGCTACACCCACAGTATAGGGGTTCTATAGGGGTTTATAGGGTTCCTTTAAAGGGATCTCTGGGGGCTCCTTTAAGGGAACCCGAGAGTTTAGGGTTTAGGGGATTCCGTACGTGAGGAATCGAAGGCCAAGCTTCATGCAGCTTTTGGGCTTTGAGGGGTTTAGGTTTTCGGAGGGGTTTTGGGTTTTAGGGGGTTTTGGGTTTTGAGAGGTTTTGGGTTTTGGGGGTTTTGGGTTTTAGGGGTTTTGGGTTTTGACAGGTTTTTGAGTTTTGAGGGGTTTAGATTTTACCCGTTTGGGTTTTGGGGATCTGGGTTTAGGGTTTAGGGTCTGATTAAGCTTACGGCTCAAGCTTCGGGTGGAGGTGTATGTGTGTGTGTGTGTGTGGGACGAACGTATTTATAGTAGATTTAGTATATACTGTATATATATATATATATATATACAGTATATATGCTATATATGGTATATATATATATATATACTCTATATATAAATACACAAATATATAAATACATATATATATATATGTATTTATATATTTATATATTTATATATAGAGTATATATATATATATAGTGTATATATACATATATATATATATATATATAGTAGAACTTGTATTCACTAGCTCTGGGCCGCGCTCTCGCTGGCGATTTTCCGCCTGGTCTCTGCATTTTTCGAGTCCGAGAGATTTCGAGGTGCAAGGCTTCAGGTGTCCTATTTGGGAGTTTCCACAAAAAGGGACCCCAACATAGCACCCTAAATAGCAGGATCCTTATTATAAGGATCCCAAAATTAGGTACCCCTTTTTTTCGGAAACTCCCATCTGGCTGTCGGATCAACGAAACCCTAAACCCTCAGCCCCTAAACCCTAAACCCCTGAACACTAAACCCCTAAACTGTAAACCCTAAACCGTGGCCGTCGATCAGTTTAGATGCGTTCACTCCGAGGCTTGTCTACCCCTGCCCCAAGGGCTGCGTGGTCACTTGGCCGCACTTTGATCATAGGGACCCTTAAAGGGGTAAGGGGGAGGGGGTAGGGGACTATACTTCCTTGAATAAGCCTTATTAGGTCCTTATTATGGGCGTTAAGGCCCCCTGCCCTCTGATTTGAGTTCGGTCCCAGATCTTCTGCATTGTGTGGCAGAGGTCCGGCAAAGTGACACGTGCACATCTTTGCTTGTAATATAGGGGCCTTTATAATTACCTATACTAGTTGGGGGCTCCTTATTATAACTGTATAATATACCCCGAAACCCTATTCCAATTGTTAAGGCCCGATATTACATGTGTGCCGCGGCTTTGTCACGGCAACTAGGCCGCCGTGAGGCACAAGCTGGCAAAGGCTCCTACTAGATTACTAGAAACCACTATCAAATATGTTACGTATTTGTATGTGTCTGTATATATATATATATACACATACAAATGTATGTATACGTGTATGTCTGTACTATCGGTATCTAAGCTTATGTCTACACTTGTATCCATATCTCTATTCGTATATATATATATATACACATAATAATCTACACATATCTACAGATAGATATACATATATGTATATATACATGTATATACACACACATAACAACATCTAGATCGACGTCTGTATCTGCATGTATTGGTAATTATACCTCCATCTATACCTAAATCTATATCTATACCTCTTTTTCAGCTACAGCCTAATATCTGTATCTTTTTACACTAACCCATGAAAAACGAGCGCATCAGCATACACAAAAAATCGCAGAAAAGCCTTCCATAGTATGGTCTTTGGGCCCGACAGCCTTAAACCATGAGCCCGTAGAGCTTCAGGGTTTCCAAGATCCCATAAACCCTAAACCCTGAACCCCAGCTAGATCCCCTCAACCCAGACCCCCGAAAGGATCTAGAAAGTAGATCCGAACCCCCATTAAGGGATCTACTCATTGAAACTTCCCACGCACACAAGATCAGTATTCTGCACAAAGACTTTTTGTTTATGAGGCATCGGGAACCAGGGGGCCGGCAGCTTACAGCTGTGCTGTCCGAGGAGTACGGATCTGTATGCGAGCCTTGTGCTCCTGGATACTTCCGTGCCGCCGACGGCAACGCGTGCCAGAGGCCACCACAATGTACTGGGGTTTTGGGTTTAGGGTGTTGGGTGTAGTTTGCGAGAGACGACTTCTTGAAATGCATGGCATGGCTTGCGTGTGAGGCTCAGTTGTTCCTTGGGAAACATGCCCACTGACACCCTCCCTCGCATGACACATAGTCTTCTCCTGATTAGGGTTGTCACTTCGAGGGCTCTGGTATATCCACAACCCAAGCAAAGCGAAAGTGGTGTCATGAAAGGCGAAGGTTTTCTCGCCCCAGGCACACCCTTGATTGTGAAAGGCCCCTCCCGCTGAATGCGTGCGTGCAAGAAGCTGCTCTGGCTGTGGCAATGTAAGCGACTACGCCCTTTCCAGACACACCCTGGCAAGCCGGTGTTTGAACACATCGAAGCCGCCCGCCTCGCGTGCCGCTGCAAGTTTCATAGGATGCCATGAAGAAAGGAGAATGCCCAACAGTGCTCTTTCCACTTTCTCTCGCGACGTGTGGCAAGTTTGGCAATGAGAGCCCATTCTGCAGCCGTTTAGCTGAGACTAAGCCCTGCGCACTCTCCTTCTGACTTTCAGAACTATCGTTATCCACATTAATTACTATACTATACTATACCTTACTATACTACACTATTCTTCTTATTTTTCTTATCAACTTTAGTAGTAGAAGCAGGTGCCCTGTGGGCTTCTACCAGGATCAGTGGGCTGGGAGCCAATGCTTTGTGTGCCTCGGAAAGAGCTGGGGGACGGGCTTTGGAGGTCCTGTAAATTGATATGATATAGCAAAGCCTCTTAAAAAGGGATCTATAAGGTTTACCATAAGGGGTAGTATGAGGAAGTTCTTCGTTATGGTTATAGTAGAATATCTCCACGAACCCTATTCTAATTACTCAGGCCCCTACATTAACAGTGCCAGTGCAATGTAAACGGTTCGGGAGGAGTGGCCTCCACACAGCCATGAGCATTCACTGGACACGTTGGAAGCATACTGCCTAAGCCTTTGACCCATGACCGACAGCTCCGTGCCAGTTAGCAGTCCAAGTTCTCTTGCAGCTGTAGGGCTCCGTGTAGGTCGTTCGGGTAACGTTCCCTGTCACCACTTAATGCCCTTTATTTGTTCCAAGGTGCCCTGAGGGCGCCACCTGTGCCGCCAACGGGACGGATGCGCCGGTGGCGAATTATGGCTGCCGGATTGCTTGAGAGAGCGGTTCTGGGGGCACCATTTCTGAGTTTCTGGTACTGATGCTTGATTTTGATTGCTGTGCTGACGTGCCCCCAGATTGACTTGTGTGAGACATGTTGACAGTGTTGATACTTCATGACACATGCTTAGCCTTAGCCCAAACACATCCCTTCGACTTCGAAATAAAACCCTAAACCCGCAAAACCTAAAACCTAAAACTCTGCGTAGCAAAGGTTGGTTTCTCGAGAAGGGGGCGACTGCTCTTCCTGCGACCCCTGGCAGAAAAATCTAGTCTCGGAGCCTTAAGTATTAGAATGGGGCTGAAGGGGTCTGTAAGGGTCCTATTAACTGGCTCCATGAGGCTTAGAGTAGGGCCCTCAGAAATTAGAATGGGGCTTTATTAGAACAAGTGCTCTACAAGAGGTTGTATAAGGGTTACTCCAAAGGATTCTATAGTCTAGGGAAGGAATAGTGCGCATAATTATTCCGGCTGAGTTTCCGAAAATAGGGGACCCTAATCTGGTACTGTAAATAGTAGGATCCTTATTATAAGGACCCCCATACTAAGGTACCCCTAATTTTCAGAAACTCCTATGTGCTTCGAGTGCCAGGGACCATGGGTCAGGCAGCTTCTCGCCTTTGGCCGAGTAGCGCGGGTGTCCTGCAAGCATGCAGGTTTAGGGTTTAGGGGTTTAGGGTTTAGGGTTTAGGGTTTAGGCAGGTCCTTTCGTTGTATTATAGTTGCTTTTTCATCAGAAAAGAGTTTGGGGAGTAATTCTCTTCTACTGTAACCACAATGACGAACCTCTCAAAAATAGTATAGATAATTCCCAAAAATTCACAATAAGGAACCCCGCAAAAATAGTATAGGTAATTCCCAAGAATAGTATGGGTAATTCTTAAGGCTTCTACATTAGGCTGCATTGAAAGCCGGCTGAACGATTGCCATGCAGTCTCCACTCAGTAGGAGCCGGAGTTTCCTTAAAACCCTAAAACCCTAAACCCTAAACCCCAAAACCCTAAAGCCCTGAAGCCCTAAAGCCCTAAAGCCCTAAACCCCAAAACCCTAAAGCCCTAAAGCCCTAAACCCTAAACCCCAAACCCCCAAACCCTAAAACCCTAAACCCTAAACCCTAAAACCCTAAACCCTAAACCCTAAACGAAAAGGAGCCCTTTAAAAAAACACTCTAAAGCCCACGAGGAACTATGAGCTCTTCAACGGCGCGTCTGCCTGCTCGATCCTTCCGGGCGGAGGGCTCCACACCATCCCCTCATCTGAGCTTTGGAATCGGTTGAGGGTTCTAGGACCCAGAGTAGGCCCTTATTCGCTTTTTTTAGGGCTTGGCTTCTCTTATAACCCCCTTTAACCCAAAAAGGGCACCCTTTTTATTCCGAGGTTACTCTTGGGTCTAGGGTTTTAGGGTTTTAGTGTTGAGGGGTTTAGGGTTTTAGGGTTTCTGGATTTGGGGTTTTAGGGTTTAGGGGTTTAGGGTTTGGGGTTTTAGGGTTCAGGGTTTTAGGGCTTTAGGGCTTTAGGGTTTGGGGTTTGGAATCGCAGTTAACGGCAGGCTAAATATGGGAGTTTCCGAAAATTGAGGGGTACCTTATTTGGGGGTCCTCATAATAAGGATCCTACTATTTAGGGTACTAAATTAGGGTCCCCTATTTTTGGAAACCCCCATTAAGGGCCTAAATCGTGAGAATAGGGTTTGGGGGTTCCTTTATCGTATTTTTAGGATATTATACCCCCCCAGACCCTATTCTAGTTATTAAGGCCCATATATTACGTATATTAGGGTGACCTTCGTAATCAAGACAACAAGCCCGGTACCTCCCAGAGTCACCGAGAGGTCCACTGAGATTGCATCCGTTTAGGCATACTCCGCACGACATTGGTATACTTCTGCTGTTTTTGGAATCTTGTTTTTATGACCACATATAACTCTGTACCTGTATATATATAGATATACATACTGTATGTATATATGGTCATATTCTGATGAGAGTGGCACGAAGCGCTTTCCTGAAAGTCCAAGGACTTGAGCGGCTGGAGACTCAGGAGTTCGAGCAGCAGCAGCCAGGGGGAGCAGGGATGTGCGTGAGGCTAGCTGTATCCCAGGCCGAACAGAACCGCAAACTTAAACCACTCACAAGCCCTCAACTCCTGAACACCTACCCAGAGAGCCCAATACCCGGAATATAGCTTAAATCATAATATGAAGCCCCTTATAATGTAAGCCATATTCCTTAATCAAGGGGTATCGGGCTCCCCTAAATCCACGATACCCCTACACCCCTGCAATCCGCGCTGCCTATAACCGGGGCTGAAGACCCCAGCCCTCAACCCTAACACCCAAACCCCAGTCCTTCAAACCTTTATGAAGCAGTCGTCCATGGAGCCCTAAACCCTGAACCCCTAAACCCAAATTATCTGAACATCCCTAAACCCTAGACCCTAGAGGCCCTTTTGGAACTCTGCACTCTGCTAAGGCTGGGATGCCACCAAGCAGGTGCCGCTTTGGAGCCTGTATCGTTGCAAGCCTGCGGAGATTTGCCACTGGGTCTGATGCAGGGTTTAGGGCTGAGGGATTGGGAGACAGAGAGTGAGAGAGAGAGTTGTATAGATAGATAGGGTAGATTAGACTAGAGTAGGTTAGGTAAACTTAGATTAGATAGATTCGATAGCGTAGATAGATCACATGGATTAGACAGGTTAGAAGGATTAGATAGATTAGATCGACTAGATAGATGATCTAGGTTAGATAGATAGAGAGACTGATAGATAGATAGATAGATAGATAGTAATGTATATAGAACATGTGTGTCTGTATGTGTATGCATATACACACATGTTAGAGTTTTGTGTGCAAATGCCTGAGAGGACACCCAATACTTGACACTACCAGTAGGTCAGTAGGTACTGTTACTGTCATATCCCAGGTCATATAATCTGGGTAGTACTGCGGATACTGCCAATAGTGTCATTGCTGGTCGGACCGAATTCAGCAAGCTGCTTCAATGACCGAAAATTTCATAATCGCAGTCTGCTGTACAGGAACAGGGGTGTTACTTTTCATAGGCCACGGGTGGAAGCATTGCAGCTGCCCGCACTCCAGATGCTGCAGCATGCCGTCACGAATCAAGAAAAGCTAAACCCCCAAACCGAAGCCTTAAACCCAAAGCCCTAAAGCCTAAATCCAAGCCCTAACAAAGGAGCAGCTTCTTTGCTTCCGGTGCTTGCGTCTTAGGTCTTGGCAGCAACATGTGCACGGAGGGCCACGAAGGTGTGCACTGCGCCAGCTGCAAGCAAGGATATAGCCGCTACCTGCTGCTCGCCTTGCAGGAAGTTCTTGACTTCGTGGGGTCCCTTCAGCACCCTAAACCCTAAACCCTAAACCCCTAAACCCTAAACCATGAACCCTAAACCCCAAGCCCTGGAGCTTCTCACTGCCAAAGATGACTCACTGAGAGACGCCGTAGTGTAGGTCGTAAGGCCGAGACGAGGCCCCAAGGCCTGAGCCCTAAGCCTTTAACCCAATACCTCTTAGGGGTACTTCGATTTTTTTTAATGTTTGGTTCTTATAATCCCTAAGAAACAGCTAAACTTACCATTTTTGCTAGGGTTCTAAGCTCAGTATAGACCCATGTGCCGGATTTCGGGCATTCGGGCTGTCGAAAAGTCCGGTAACATCACGAACCGGGAGTTTGGGGGGTTTAGGGTTCAAAGTGCCGGTGTTCTTCGAGGCAGTCGCAGCAATAGCATAGAAGCAAGCCCACGCCCCGAAAACCGAAACCCTACACCCTAAACCCTAACTCAAATGCAAGCATTGGAGAACAAGCAGAGGCAATGCAGACGGCTTGAATCAAAGGGGGCTTTCACAGGACGTTTAACCCTGAACCCAAAGCGCGAAAAGGGAGTGCAGCTCAACTTTAAAAGAAGAGCCCAAAGCGCGAAGCCTTTCAACCCGAGGGCTGCCTTAAATCGTAAATGCCAAGCCCTCGTCCCTAATCTATATCGGGAGACCATAAGAATACAAAAACGATAAAGCGGCTCCTTCTGCCTTTTCCCTCAGGCGCTTCACCCAGGTTTGCGAGGCCCAGCGCAGGGAAACTCATGAGCTAACTGGTTATGAGTATAGTTACCCTACTTCAAACCCTGCTTATAACTACCCATAAACCCTAAACCCTACAGAACCCTTAAAGGAACCCTGAACCCATCATAGCTGTTGTTGCTGCCGTTTAGGGTTGGGGCGAGGGAGGGTTTAGGGGGTTTTGGTTCTGAGAGTTTTTCTCGTGCGTGTTTTCTTTTGGTGCTGGATTGATTTTATTCGGGCTTAGGGCCATTACAGTAGAAGCCAGAAAGTTGGAATATCATTATCCTAACCCCTTTAAGGTAAATTATAGGGGATCCTACCATTAATCCATATTCCAACTTTCTGGAGTTCCCTTTAGTGCCAGGGTTCGGGAGTCGGATTGAGGGCTGATCAGGTTTTTGAAGCCGTTCGTGGAAGCGTGCACGTTTGGGAAGAGTTCACCTGCGCCCCCACAGCTCATGTCATGTGGGAGTTTCCGAAAATTAGGGGTACCTTCTTTTAGGGTCCTTATAATAAGGATCCTACTATTTAGGTTACTATATTGAGGTCCCCTAATTTCGGAAACTCCCATGTCATGTGGCTGAATGCACAGTCACCCTGATTTCTCTGGCCTGTAAACAGCAATGCACCGGGCACCCCAAGCCCTAAAGCCCGAAACTCGAAACCCTCATCACTCAAAAGAGCTAAGCCACAGAGCGCTTAACTCCAGACTTCCGAGCTTGAAGGGTAGGAGGACAGAGGCCCGTAGCAACCCTTACAGCCTTGCAGAACTTCTCGATGTAGAACCCCTAAATCCGGAATGGTAAACCCCGAAGGGGGTAGAGAGGTGGAGCGGTTGGAGGAAGGCAGAGGGAATATCGGGGCCTGAATAATTAGAGCAGGGGTTCCTTTAAAGGGGACTATAAGGACTACTACAAGGGCTACTATAAGGATTTAGTATAGGGGCCTTAACAATTTGACTAGGGGTTCCTTTAAAGGGGACTATAAGGACTACTATAAAGGGCTATATGATAAGGATTTAGTACAGGGGGCCTTACTTGGAGGGTCGGGGGACTTAGTAAGTAGGTAGTAAGTAGAGTTACAAGTACCTTAACAGGGACCCTAATTGGGGTTATGGTACTTATAAGCCACCAAAATAACCAGTTACTAAGTCCCCCGACCCTCCAAGTAATAATGAGGGTCTGGGGGTCTGGTCGGACTGGAACGGGAGAGTCGGCTCAGATGGACACGCTCGACCCAGAGAGCCCAAGGGGCCCCTTAAGTAAGGAATAAGACCTAGAGGGTTCCTTTAAAAGGGGTCTAGAGGGATCTATAGGGATTAGGGTTTCCGATACCCCTTAAATGAGGAATATAGCTTAAACCATAATATGAAGCGCCTTATAATTTAAGCCATATTCCTTAATTAAGGGGTGCAGGGCTCTCTGGGGACTGTCTGGTTCTTCGTAGAAAAAATGGATCCCCATAGGAGTCCCTATATGGGTGGTTGTCAAAATTAGGGTCCCCTCTTGGTTACCCTAAATAATAGGTGCCGTATCAAAAGAGGGACCCCAAAACGACCGTAATTTTGACAACCACCCATATATCATCCCAGTTAGGGTCTCCATAGACCATTCCCACATTCCCTGTTACAGACAGCCTACTACTAAGAACCAGAGAGTAGAGTTTAGGGTGAAGGGGCTCCATGGGCCCTTGTGTGCACTTTGGGCATGCAAGCGGTGGGGGGGGGGGGGGGGGGTTGCGCAGTTGCTACCGGTAGCGAAAAGGAACGGGGTGAGCTTCGGCTGTGCGAAACTATGCCAAAGGAAGAATATCGCTAGTATGCGAATGATCCCGTATCGGCCCTGTCCTGATTCTTCGTGCCAAGAAGGATTGTTATGGTGGTTGGGACTCTTAGGACAACTGACAACTGTGCTTGTGGTGAGGACTCTTGCTGCAACATTGTCTTGTTGTCTGTTACGATGCCATCTGATCCCATGGTGTCTTTGGGCATCTACGAGTGTTCTAGCCGGCATACATGCCCAGCCGGAGCAACATTCCTAATGACGAATGAGCCCGCCGTTCGGTTCAGAGAAAGGCGTGTCCCAACCTCCTGCAGCAGTTCGTGATTTGCGCTAGCGTGGCTCCTTGGTTCAAGAAGCATTTGCAGGGTTTGCAACGGAGTCCACTCGGACTTATTGCGGTAGCAGCAAGTATCAAACCATTCCAACCGAAGATGTATCAAACTAAAACAGCAGATTTGCATTGCAGCGGAGGTGGCTCTGCAGCTCTTCGCGGCTGCATGGCCGCCGGGCTGGCAAACAGGGCGACGTAGGGTTTATTGTTGAGGTTTTTAGGGGGTTTACGGGTTTGGGGTTTAGGGTTCAGGGATTTATAGTAGGGTTGAGGAATTTAGGGGGTTTAGGGGTTTGGGGTTGGTTCAGGGATTTAGGCGTTTAGGGTTGAGGAATTTGGGGGGTTTAGGGGTTTGGGGTTTAGGGGTCAAGGATTTATAGTAGGGTTGAGGAATTTAGGGGGTTTAGGGGTTTGGGGTTAGGGTTCAGGGATTTAGGCGTTTAGGGTTGAGGGATTTAGGGGGTTTAGGGGATTGGGGTTTTGGGTTCTGGGATTTAGGCGTTTAGGGTTGAGGGTTTAGGGATTGGAAGCTGCCAGCTCCAGCTTTTTCATAGCCGACTAACTTCGAAAGCTGCATCCAGAGAGGCATGCAACCCTGAAACCAACGCTTGTAGTAAGCCTTATGGCAACTCTTTTAGTAACTCATGCTAACCCTCATAGCAACCGTATAGTATGTCTCTCTTATAGCTACCCTAGTAGTAACCCTCATGCGCTTCAGCTATAAACCCTAAACCCTGCATCCCTAACCCTAAATCCAAAATCCTTAAACCCTCAATCACTAAAACCCCAATCCTAAACCCCCACGCCCCTAACCCCTAAACGCCCTAACCCCTAGAACCCTAAACCGTGAACTTTAAACACTAATTGAGAATAGTTGGGGTGGTTGGGGCGGGACGACATGCTGACGCAAGCGCGCGATAAGTGGGTGCGCCTAAAGAAGCGCACCCACCGCGCATACTGTTACACACCCCTAAACCCTAAACCCCTAAACCCCTAAACCCCTAAACCCCTAAACCCCTAAACCCTAAACCCCTAAATCCCCAAACTGGGAAGTTCCCAGAAGCTGCCTTGGTCCAAGGCTGTCCAGCGCCACGCTCAGCTCTGCGGAGGAGTCGAGTTGCCTGCAGGCGTGGGTGGGTTTAGGGTTGCGGTAAAGGGTGCTATAAGGGTTCCTTTAAGGGATCTATAGGGGATCTAATTACAGCGCTTAGGGCTTAGGGGTTTTGTGTTAGGGTTTAGGGTTTTTGAGGGTTTAAGGTTTGGTTTTAGAGTTTCGGGTTTTAGGGCTTAGGGTAAGGCTTTTGGGATTCATTGCGGAGCACTTGCCGACTGCTTGCGGGGAGTACTGTATGCATGTCGCGGTCTGCAGCCTTAATCGCTGCATGTGCTTGTCAGGCACCTCTGGCACTGACGCTGCTTGCCTTCGATGGTCTCATGTTCGCGTAGTCTGTGGCAGACGTGAAACAAGCAACCGAGGCTCTTGCAGAGCCTGCAGATCTACTCGCTGCTCCTCCGAACAGTGGTCAAGTCCTTCGACACTTGGGCTTGAGATCAGGGCTGTAGAGTCTGACACCTGGTCATTTGCGAGAGAGAGAGAGAGAGAGAGAGAGAGAGAGCAGCAGCCGCGATTCCTATGGATCGGCAAGTGAAACCCAGAACGTCCTTAAGCAACTGTGATGCATCAGTGTACGCCTTGCCGGCAGACCAGCAGGATGATTGAAAGGGCGAAGCAAATCTATAATGGGCTTCCCTACCAAACTCAGTAGCGTTTTGTGTTTCGCGGTCAGGGATACGCTCCGGCTGATTGCTTGCGTATGCAATGTGGACGTGACATAATGCGCATCCTGAGTGCCGAGGAGAGACCTTTTTGAAATCTGGAACGAGTCGCAAACCAAAAAACCCCAAACCCCTAGTCCTTCTAGATGGAATCTGCACAGGCAATCACACAGGATGCAGGACGACGCAAGACTCGAGATCTCAGGTCTTCGACGTACTACCAGACTACCACTACTACTACTACTACGACGACTACTACTACTACTACTCCTGCTGCTGCTGCTACTACTACTACTACTACTACTACTACTACTACTGCTACCACCACCACCACCACCGCCACCACCACCACCACCACCACCACCACCACCACCACTACTACTACGATGTATCCTGTAGCCCCATTCAGGCATCAGCAACGCAACGCTCCTATAACAAGATCCTCGAACCTCAGAACTTGTCCTGGGCGACGACGATTCCGGTCGCGGATATTCTGATGACGCCCTTCCTGCCGACTTGTCTGCAACAGTGGGGCTTCCGGACACATGTTGTCTTGGAATGCTGATTGTCGGAGTATGGCGGAGTAGTCTGTCAGGACAAGGTCTGGATATTGATGCGCGATGCAGCCGAGTGTCCATGGGACCAGGTCGAGCACGTGCCTTCAGAAAGCCTTGTAACACATGTCATGCTCCGAAATTTTGAAAGTAGGCTCTTGAACTGATTTGTTCCAGGTCTTCTCCAGCAGGGGTTCCCATGTGCATGGGATGCTTCGAGCAAGTTCGACAAGTTGTGAGGCTTCCTCTGATGAGCTGCGTTCGAACGGCGGAGAGTGTCGAGGGCGTCCAGTTGCACATCCTCTCTATTGTCCTCTCGGTGCGGCTCTCGGCGGGCTCGCGGGATGCGGAGCTTCACACTGGGCTCCGGGAGCCCGACAGCTTAGAACTAAGTCCTATCCATTCGAGAACCTGTCGCTACCACAGCAGAAGCAGATTCTTGCAAAGGCCCTGCTCAGACGAGACCCACGCTAGAGTCGATAAGCTCATGCCTCACTGGTTCCACACAGCTTTACTGCTCTCATGCGACTGACGCTACCATTGCCCGACCTTGCGTGGTGCCAAACCTTTCCCACAATGACGGCAGCTGACGTTTATCTAAAAAGCAGCGGCTGCGCCCTAAAAAAGATAGCAAGATATGAAAGATAGGGTAAACTGCTGAAATGTATGTACTGTAGTATCACGTGCTGCGACAAAATGCAAGATGTTACAGCATAAGAGATCGCAGCATAGCATAGCGAAGTATATAGAGAATAGTATAGCAGAAGTTTCACGAATATAAACCAGCATAGTGTAATACGAGTATAGTAGTACAAGTTGTTATACTATCGTACATCATCAGGCACAACGTACCATAACGTAAGGTGTCACTTTGTGATACAAGATAATACAGTTCACCACATTGAAGTATGAAAGCCTGGTATATCATAGCATCCAGTCTGTTCTTCATAATTGTTCTTCATAGTTTTTCACAATTGTATAGAATTATAGAACCTTTAACCTAGTGAAACATAGTAACATGTACTGGAGAGCAGGTCATGCTTCTTCAGCACCCCAGGTCGTATCGTGACACAGCTGAACGGTCACGATGAAGGAAAGAGGATCCATGTGCAGTGCTTGAAAGAGTTCGATGCTAGCAGACTGTAGCAAAATCGTCGCATAATATAGTAGTATTGCAGTACAGTATAATAGATAGACCTCCAAAAGACCTCCAGCTTCCCTGCAATGAGCGCTCGAGCTGGAGACCTGAGCCTTTCCAGGCGGGTTTTGGCTATCTGCTCGTCGGGCTGCGATTCCTAGTGCGGATCCGCCATCGCAACGTGCCCAGCCTGAGCTCATATGGGGTGCTCCAGGGGGGGGGGTTGAGGCTACTGAAACACTTGGAGCTTCGTTGGGGACTAGTGCCTACGGGGCATTGGATGGGCGTAGGAAGAACGTTCTCACGGCTCTGTTTCCCATGTGTCGGCTGTTCCGGCGAGATGAGGTGGTGAACGATTTCCTGCGGCATGTTCTGGCGCTGAACGTGGTGCGGACGGGAGTGCCAGAACGCTACGCATGCACTTGACCTGAGACAGAATAGGTCGAAGAATAACCCTGAAGTGCTGCCAGGTTTGCCATATAATATATGAATCGAATTTATCATGTCTCCTTCTCTCTTGTTGGAGCACCTTACCGTCTCACCCATCATCCTGAATGACGTTCCGCAGGTCACGCTGCCGTACTGCATCTACTGGGCGGTTCACTACACGACCTTTTGCTCTGTCAGGGAGGTGGTGCCTTGCTCTGAGCAACCCGGAGCCTCCAAAACCCCCTTATTTTAAGGAATATACCTTAAGTCATAGTAGGGATCCTATTATGATTTAAGGTATGTTCCTTAACTCACAGTAAGGATCCTATTATGATTTAAGGAATTTACCTTAAATCATAGTAGGGATCCTATTATGATTTAAGGTATGTCCTTAAAAAAGGGATATTGGAAGGTCTGGGAGGGATGTTGCTCATGCGCTTCGTTCTTTAGCTCTCACCTGGCGGTCCGTTCAGGACGCCTAAACCCTGAACCCTAAACCCCAAGCCAACCCTTAACCCCAAAACCCCTAAACCCGAAACCCTAAGCCCCCCAAAACCCTCACCCCCTAGAAACCCTAAACCCCTAGAAACCCTAAATCCCTAAACCCTAAACACTAAATCCCTAAGACCCGAAACCCCTAAACCTTAAACTTTAACCCCTGAAGCCCGAAACCCGAAACCCCTAAACTCGAAACCCAAACTTCGCATGGCACCTGCACCGTCACCCAGTCCTCGGCCACTCGGCGCCGTGTGTTTTGAGATCTTGTTAAGGGATTTTGTGTTTTAAGTTACCATAGAAGGGATCTAAAAGGGTTCTTTTAAGGGATCTATTATTATGGTAACTTAAATTCCCTGAACAAGAACCCACATGGCTGTTACACAAACCAACCCAAAACCCCACTATTTATCGCGTTTTCGCCGGTTTGTGCAGCATGTGTGTGATGTTCAAAACGAGGCGCGGTCGCAAGTGTTCATGACCGTTGCGAACATGCCCAAAACCCTGTTATTTGCAGCATCTTTGCTTGTTTGTACAACATGTTGCAGGAGGATGTTTGATGTTCGGCAACACGAGGCGCTGTCACAAGTGTTCACGTCTGTTTGCAAGCATGGCCAAAACCCTGCTATTTACAGCGATTTCGCCCCTTTGTGCAACATGCGTCTCATTGAATACGTCTACAGCTGGGTCTGGCTCTCGCAGTAGGATTCCAAAGCGGATGTCGCGGATGACATGGCGAACGTGTGTTGAAATGAGTACCCTAAGTTTGAGTTCCTGGATTTCCTGAACCACGACTCCCTCCATTTCCACAGCCACACACACACACACACACGCACGAAGTCATGTAATTTACAGCACTTGCCGTGTATGCCCTAAAACATACAGGCCGGCCGCCATGCGGCCAGATCGTGTGACTTAAACCCGCACTCCTAAACCCTAAACCCTAAAACCCCTAAACCCGAAACCCTAAAACCCCTAAACCATAAACACCTAAATCCTAAACCCAAGACCCAAGCCTCAACCTCCGCCCGAGGTGCTATCTGGTCCTGCAGCTTGCTTGCGCGTGTCTGGACCGTCCTACGCCTTGGTAGCTCCTGGGACAGCCCGAGGATCCACGGGACTGAGTAAGTAAGGTTCCTTTAAAGGGCTCCTTAAGGGGATCTATAGGGGTTCCTTAAAAAGATCTATAAGGTTTAGTGTTTAGGGTCTACTTGTAAGTATCTGAATTGGGGCTTTGTAAGTATAGCTACCTTAGAATTATTTACAACCGTACTTACTAAGTAATGGGGCTTTGTAAGTAATGATAAGTATGGTCACCTTGTAAATATTTATAACCTTACTCACTAAGTCACATGATCCTCCAAGTGCTTCTCTTGCCCGGTTTTGTTGTTTCCCAAGTGTCCGAATCCCCAATCCCTAATCCCTAAACCCTAAACGCTAAAACCCCTAAACCAGAAACCCTAAAACCCTACAACCCCTAAACCCTAAACCCTAATCCTTCAACCTTCAATCTGAATCAGACCAAGGCATTGATCTGCATGGCCAGGCGGGCTCGAGCTTTGGAAGTATCTGCGCGCAGTCTTCACGGGCCTGGCGTATGTACTCCAAACCATGAAGTTCTGGGGCCCTAAACCCTAAGCCCCGCCCGAAGCCCTGCAACCCCTAAACCCTACACCCCGAAATTTCCGGAAACTCTGAAACCCTAATCGGCTGTCGATTCATGTCAGGTGGTCCCCGAAGCTCGGGGAACGGATAATATTAGGGCCTCAATAGTTCGAACAGGGTTTTGGGGCCCGTTATACTATAGATGTAGTAAAGAACCCCCCGGACACAGTATAGGAACTTATTGTGGGCACAGTACCGATCTTTCAGATGGCCATTGCCTTTGGAAGGCTGCCAGAGGGCATCCTATTCACCAGCATGCGGAAGTCGGGTCTATTCTGGAGCCCAAATCTCCCAGAGCCTCCAAAACCCCTTAGTTAAGGAATATACCTTCAATCATATTAGGGATCCTATTATAGTTTAAGGTATATTCCTTACTTAAGAGGTATTGGAGGCTCCGGGCTCCAAAAACCGTCAGCCGGCTGACCCCCAAACCCTAAAGCCGGCTTCGGGTTTAGGGGTTTAGGGCTTTAGGGTTTAGGGTTTAGGGGTTTAGGGTTTAGGGGTTTAGGGCTTTAGGGTTTAAGGGTTTAGGGGTTTAGGGGTTTAGGGTTTAGGTTTTAGGGTTTAGGCCTTCGCTCCTGAGCCGTAGCCTTGGAAAGCGGTTTTGACGCCAGAATCCTGGAGCTCTATGCCGTTTGGAGCAGCAGACGCTCAGTTGCACGGCGACTGCTTGAATCTAGCGTTTAGGGTTTAGGGTGTAGGGGTTAGGGTTTAGGGTTTAGGGGTTTAGGGTTTAGGGTTTAGGGTTTAGGGTTTGAAGGATCAGGGTTGCGGGCTTCGGGCGTAGGGCTTAGGGTTTGGGAGGCATTCAGCAAGGGATTTTGCGGGCTTGGAGCGCTGTCATATGGTTCGAGGCCTATGGTGCGTTGCTTCTGACTTGTAACCCTAAGCCGTACACACTGAACCCTGAACCCTAAACCCGAAGCCCAGCCAATTTGATCCCACGGCCTCCGAGCTTCACCGTCCTGAACGCTTTGGTCAAGACTTCAACCAGGAGGGGGGTCAAGCTTGCCGTGAGACTTCAGCTCCTCAGCGGCGTTACCTCTGGTGGTCTTGTTTTGGCCTCAACCTTCACTGCGGGGGGCCATAGTTACTCCGGCCATGACCTTTTCACATGCAGCGGCATTCGCTTTCAGCCCAAGGCCGCTGCTTTGGCTCGAGGTTGGAGGAAGGCGGCTCTCAGCGCTCCCTCCGGCTGCAACGCGGATCTGGAGCCTATCGTCCCCGTTGCGTGGAGCGAATCTGCTGACATTACTGGCGATTTGTACTACTGGTCCTTGACACCTGGCAAAAATGTCAGGCGCGACATGGTCTCAACCTTGTTTGAGGATGCCAACTGCAATCACCAGCTTAGGCTCTTCCTTGTCACGGCTTCGTCTGGCAGTTCGAATGTCGTCTGGCTGGTTTCTGATGAAGACCCCAATGTGCGCCTGACTCCCTGTGCGATAGCTGTTGGTTGGACTGGCTGCGCCCTTACTTGCCAGTCCCTTTGCGACCAGCACCTTCGCACGGGGAATGACATGACCGTTTCTTACATTTCTGGTGAGTTTGTTAGTGCGGATTTGGCCCAGGTTTGCCATCGGCAACAGGCTCGGGCTGCCTTCAATGCAAGACTTTGAAGTAGCCTTTAACGACTTGGACGAGTTGTTTCGGAGAACACGCAAAGCCTTGGTCAATGTCCTGCCAGGGTCAGTGGTTCTCACAACGATACTCCTTGTCAATGTCATGGCCGCTTGGTTCCAGGTGCCAGTTGATCAGCTGAGTAACTTTGGCCTCGCTACCGTGACTTTGCTGGTTGGTTTGCTCATCGGCACCCTCAACTTGAAAGTTACCTTCTATCACGGGGTGTTCTTGGCTGTCTCTGTTGTTGCGGGTTCGATCTATGCCAGCTCTGAGCCCTTGAACCCCGTGGAGTTTGCGTTGGCAGCCTTGCTGGGTCGTTTGCAGACCTGTCGAGCAACGACCATTTGGTGGTCCTTCTCACAGCCTTTGGGAATCTCGCCACGATTGCCTCTCTGGTTACCGGCCAAACCGGATCCAGATTGTACGCGCAGCAGGCTTTCGGCCGTCTGTTCGCGGGGTACAGGCCTTCCTCAACGGCCGTGAGAGCGTTGGTGCGGACGAGATTTGACTGGCAATTGTACGCGGTCGTCTTCAGGGCGATGCGCCGTTTGGGACCACTTGGGTTGTTGTCCAACATCCCAATATTCTTAGCCATCTTCCTCACTCTTGCTATTCACATTATCGGTATCTATTCCTTTTGTGCTACGCTGTTGCCGGAGTCTTTCTGGAGGAAGTTCAGGAATGGGGAGATCGACTACTCCGTCTTTGGCCCACTCTACGGAGGGTCGCGTAAATTGCTCAGGGAAGCCATGACTGCTGGCGAATCGGGATCTGAGGCTCGCATCAGCTTGGTACTTCTCACCTTGATGCTTCTCCTTTTCCCGGTGACCTTAGTAGCCGCGGCCGCTTTGGAAGAGTCGAGTATGGTGAAAGTTTCTCTGTCGTCGTTCCCAAATCCCAGGCGGAGTCGATGGGCAAGCCCAGCCCTGAATTGGCGTTTGAATGGGCCTCTCTCCGAGGTAAGGGTGCGGCCAACGAAGAGGCTCTTATTGATAAGCTCAGCAAGACATTTCCAAAGACCAAGGGCGAGAGCAAGAGGTATTCCCGATTCTTGAAGCAGGGTGTCAGAGCTGTTCACGCATATGAGGGCGGCGAGAGTTTTGCATTCAAGCCCAGCCTCACCGTTGAGGAGCTCGAGGCGCAGGCTTGGGTTGAAATTGCTCCAGAAGTCTCCGATCGAACCATGCTCAAGCGAGGCTGGGGTTCCACAATTGGCATGCTTGTCCTGAGATCTTGTGGGATCGCCATGGCCCAAGCGACGGTGCTCACGGAAGGTCGCCTCTGGGCCGTTCCACATCACGTTTTCACGAAAGGCCTCAAGGACTTAACTGATGGGGAGACGGTTTATGTCAGGCTGGGCTCTCGTCATGCTGTCACAGGAAAGAAGGCCCAGGCCCTGTGGCTTCGCTTAACGGGGGCCAGGGTTTTTTTTTTTTTCAAAGGTGCGGTCAACCCTTGTTTGCGAGGTGCGGCCAAGGGTCCCTGGTGCAGGCGGTCCCCTGGTCCTTGGTCCTGTGGTCCCTTGGTCCTTGGTCCTCTGGTCTGCTGGTCCTCTAGTCCTTGGTCCTGCGGTCCCTTGGTCGTCTGCTCTTCTGGTCCTGTAGTCCCCTGGTCCTCTGGTCTGCTGGTCCTCTGGTCCCGTGGTCTCCTGGTCCCGTGGTCTCCGGTCCGCCGGTCCCTCGGTCCCGTAACAGCAACAAGAACGCAGACAAGGAATACATTCGCCAAAGCACAAGAAGAAGAAAGCCAGACAACAACGCGTCAGGGTGGATTAATGCGAAGTAAACACAATCAATCGTGAAGGGTTTAAAAGGTTTGCAGGCTGCGCCCCCCCCAGCCCCCCCACTTTTTTTTAGACTAAACTCCCCGCTCACTGGCACGAAGAGATGCACAAAAACGTATTCGCCAACACAGAAGAATGAGAAAGCCAGACAACAACGCGTCAGGGTGGATTAATGCGAAGAAAACACAATCAGTCGTGAAGGGTTGAAAGGGTTTGTAAATACAACAAAGCGTCACGGTGGTTTAATGCGAAGTAAACACAATCAATCGTGAAGGGTTTAAAAGGTTTGCAAATGGGGGGGGGCTGCCCCCCCCCCAACCCCCCCGCTTTTTTTAGACAAAACTCCCCGCTCACTAAAGGCACGAAGAGATGCACAAAAACGTATTCGCCAAAACACAAGAAGAAGAAGTCCAGACAACAACGCGTCAGGGTGGTTTGATGCGAGGAAAACACAATCAATCGTGAAGGATTTAAAAGGTTTGCAACTGGGGGGGTGGCTGCGCCCCCCCAACCCCTCCGCTTTGTTGAGGCTAAACTCCCCGCTCAGAGATGCACAAAAACGTATTCGCCAAAGCACAAGAAGAAGAAAGCCAGACAACAACGCGTCAGGGTGGTTTAATGCGAAGTAAACACAATCAATCGTGAAGGGTTTAAAAGGTTTGCAGGCTGCGCCCCCCCAAGCCCCCCCGCTTTTTTTTGGCTAAACTCCCCGCTCACTGGCACGAAGAGATGCACAAAAACGTATTCGCCAACACAGAAGAAGGAGAAAGCCAGACAACAACGCGTCAGGGTGGTTTAATGCGAAGAAAACACAATCAGTCGTGAAGGGTTGAAAGGGTTTGTAAATACAACAAAGCGTCAGGGTGGCTTAATGCGAAGTAAACACAAAAAAACGTGAAGGGTTTAAAAGGTTTGCAAATGGGGGGAGCCAACCCCCCCGCTTTTTTTAGGCTAAACTTCCCGCTCACTAAAAAGCCGCGAAGAGACGTATTCGCCAAAGCACAAGAAGAAGAAAGCCAGACAACAACGCGTCAGGGTGGTTTAATGCGAAGTAAACACAATCAATCGTGAAGGGTTTAAAAGGTTTGCAGGCTGCGCCCCCCCAAGCCCCCTCGCTTTTTTTTGGCTAAACTCCCCGCTCACTGGCACGAAGAGATGCACAAAAACGTATTCGCCAACACAGTAGAAGGAGAAAGCCAGACAAGAGCGCGTCAGGGTGGTTTAATGCGAAGACAACACAATCAGTCGTGAGGGGTTTAAAGGGTTTGTAAATACAAAAAAGCGTCAGGGTGGTTGAATGCGAAGTAAACACAATCAATCGTGAAGGGTTTAAAAGGTTTGGAAATGGGGGGGCTGCGCCCCCCACAACCCCCCCGCTTTTTTTAGACAAAACTCCCCGCTCACTAAAGGCACGAAGAGATGCACAAAAACGTATTCGCCAAAACACAAGAAGGAGAAGTCCAGACAACAACGCGTCAGGGTGGTTTGATGCGAAGAAAACACAATCAATCGTGAAGGATTTAAAAGGTTTGCAACTGGGGGGGTGGCTGCGCCCCCCCCAACCCCCCCGCTTTGTTTAGGCTAAACTCCCCGCTCACTAAAAAGCCGCGAAGAAATGCACAAAAACGTATTCGCCAAAACACAAGAAGAAGAAAGCCAGACAAGAACGCGTCAGGGTGGTTTAATGCGAAGTAAACACAATAAATCGTGAAAGGTTTAAAAGGTTTGCAGGCTGCGCCCCCCCAAGCCCCCTCGCTTTTTTTTTGGTTGAACTCCCGCTCACTGGCACGAAGAGATGCACAAAAACGTATTCGCCAACACAGTAGAAGGAGAAAGCCAGACAACAACGCGTCAGGGTGGTTTAATGCGAAGACAACACAATCAGTCGTGAGGGGTTTAAAGGGTTTGTAAATACAAAAAAGCGTCAGGGTGGTTGAATGCGAAGTAAACACAATCAATCGTGAAAGGTTAAAAAGGTTTGGAAATGGGGGGGGCTGCGCCCCCCCCAACCCCCCCGCTTTTTTTAGACTAAACTCCCCGCTCACTAAAGGCACGAAGAGATGCACAAAAACGTATTCGCCAAAACACAAGAAGGAGAAGTCCAGACAACAACGCGTCAGGGTGGTTTGATGCGAAGAAAACACAATCAATCGTGAAGGATTTAAAAGGTTTGCAACTGGGGGGGTGGCTGCGCCCCCCCAACCCCCCCGCTTTGTTTAGGCTAAACTCCCCGCTCACTAAAAAGCCGCGAAGAAATGCACAAAAACGTATTCGCCAAAACACAAGAAGAAGAAAGCCAGACAAGAACGCGTCAGGGTGGTTTAATGCGAAGTAAACACAATCAATCGTGAAGGGTTCAAAAGGTTTGCAGGCTGCGCCCCCCCAAGCCCCCCCGCTTTTTTTTTTGCTAAACTCCCGCTCACTGGCACGAAGAGATGCACAAAAACGTATTCGCCAACACAGAAGAAGGAGAAAGCCAGACAACAACGCGTCAGGGTGGTTTAATGCGAAGAAAACACAGTCAGTCGTGAAGGGTTTAAAGGGTTTGTAAATACAACAAACCGTCAGGGTGGTTGAATGCGAAGTAAACACAATCAATCGTGAAGGTTTTAAAAGGTTTACAAATGGGGGGGGCTGCGCCCCCCCAACCCCCCCGCTTTTTTAGACTAAACTCCCCGCTCACTAAAGGCACGAAAGATGCACAAAAACGTATTCGCCAAAACACAAGAAGGAGAAGTCCAGACAACAACGCGTCAGGGTGGTTTGTTGTGAAGAAAACACAATCAATCGTGAAGGCTTTAAAAGGTTTGCAAAGGGGGGAGGTCCCCGATGAACCCTCCACAGGGATACTGCGTGTCGAAGCGCCGGCGCTGTGGCGCGGTGCAAATTTTCAACGTCCCCGATGAAGCTTCCACAGGGATCCTGCGTGTCGAAGCGCTGGCGCTGTGGTGCGGTGCAAATTTTCTACGTCCCCGATGAACCCTCCGCGCTGGCGCTGTGGCGCGGCGCAAATTTTGTATGTCCCCGATGAACCCTTCACAGGGATCCTGCGTGTCGAAGCGCTGGCGCTGTGGTGCGGTGCAAATTTTCTACGTCCCCGATGAACCCTCCACAGGGATCCTGCGTGTCGAAGCGCTGGCGCTGTGGCGCGGTGCAAATTTTCTATGTCCCCGATGAACCCATCACAGGGATCCTGCGTGTCGAACCTGAACAGATCCTTGGCCGCACCTAGGAAAAAAAAGGGTTGGCCGCACCTTTGAAAAAAAAAAACCCTCCGCCGCTTAACGGTCAAGCCGCTTCAGCTTCATTGGCCTCCTCAGCGGGCTGCACTCATCGGGACAGTCTGGTGCTCTTTGGATTGGGTGCTGATGATAGGTGATAGGGGCCCCGACTTCAAACCCGTTCACAACGGGCAATTTGGTTGCCTCCTTAGGGTGCCCTTCACAGGCGCTTATGCTACGGATGTGAAGTGGAGTCCAAGCGGCTCGAATTTCAAAACCGTCTCTTACCAGATTGGGGAAGGCTCAAATGAAGGCACCTCGGGCACGGCGATTGCCCTTGGTTCGCCGGACGGATCATCTGGCTTTGGGGTTCACACATGCAGGCAGGATGGGAAGGGCTTCGCGATGGTCCCCTTGCCAAACGCAACATGGGATTGGGTCGCCGAGGTGGTGGGCAGCACGACTTCTGGGGCGTTTGATGATGACCTTTGGGTACGCTACACATCAGAGGAAGCCTCCGGTCAGGCTTATAGACCCCCTCAGACTGACGCTGTCAAAGAGTCCACCTCCCCTGGCGACATGTTCATTCGACAGCCCCCACACAGGCCAGATCGCGGCGGCTTTTCTGACGGGGAGGCCGATCGGCGACGCAAAGAAGGCACTGACCAGATTGGCGCCTCTTGTCCGCTTGGCAGATTTTGAAGTGCCCCTGCAAGCGGGCCTGCTGTTGGTTCGGGCTACGCCTTTAGGATTGCAGGGGTTCGCTTATCTCGAGGGTTGCAGCTCCACCAATTTGCCAGTCGTCCATCTTTGCATGCTAACCCGCGTGTCCCTTCTGTGGACTTACGAACGCGGTGGTGTGGGTTTTGGAATGGCACGCGCTCAATGGTTGCTCCCTCAACTGGCCGCTGGTGCTGGTGGGGATTAACCATTTTTTGGCTAGCGGCAGCTCCGCGGCCAGCGGATGGTCAGCATAGCGCTGCAGGCTGCCGCTTCGTTTTCTATTTGCAGTTTGCACTAGACAATTGGGTGTGCGATGGATTGACTTCCTGTGCTCCCACGGTCTTAATTTGGGTGATGGATTGCACCTGCCCCGTTCTTTCTTAGTTAAGTTCAAGTTCCAAACCATTATCAGATGTACAGGTTTGTCGGCTTTGAGACTGCTAACTGGCGATCAGCCTTTTCCTACGGAGCCCGCGTTGCGGGCAAGCATGTAGAAACCGGCGACCAGCGGTGGTGGTGGGCTCGCCAGCTGCGGACTGGTCTGTGTTCGAAGCGAGGACCTGCACACAGCTGGATGTGGATGGAGCCGAAGCTGAGGGGCGAAGTGCTGTGGAGCTGTGTGAACCCTGGATTGGCTTGGAAGCTGCGGTGACGAATGTTGTTGAGGAGACGAATGGTGCTGCGGGCTTCGGGGTGAATGGCACTGGTGTGGTGGAGACGTGCTGTGATCGTGACGATGAAGACGAGGGTCAAGCTGCAGCTGATGAGGGTGACTAAAGCGAAAGGGCGAGTCCGAGGGTCCACGGTGTCGTCTGAGGGTCGCAGGGACCGCCTTCCCTTGAAGGGATTCTGTCTCGGCATGCGGAACAAGGCGTTCAAAATAAAAACCCGAAGCCCTACTTACGGAGTCTCTGAGTGTTCCTCTACAGTAGAAGCGAGAAATTTGGAACATTCGCATCCTCATGCCCTTAATGTAAAGTGTAAGGGATCCTAGCACTAATCCTCCTGAATCCAGGTCTGGGATTCGCTGCAAGTGAAGCTCTTCTAAGTTAGCCAGGATTTAGAGTTCAGGGTTTAGGGCCTCAACCCAAAACCCTACCCCCTAAGCCTTTACCCCTAAACCCTAAACCCTAACCCTAAACCCTAAACCCCAAACCCCTCCAAGTGAGAGCTTGCGCCAGCCAGAAAGGGCTCCAGATCTGAGGATATGACCTCAACAGGATCCAAGTCCGGACGCTGGGAGCGCAACTTTAGGGTTTTTGGAGAGTGTTTAGTGCGGTCTGTGATTGTTATCATGACTGCTCGTATTCTTCTTCCTCCTCCTCTTTCCAACAGCAATATTGCTGCGAGTATGGCTACTATTATCTTAAAGCTTTCCAGACCCCCGCGAGGATCCAAAAAGTAGATCCCTTAATGGGGGTTCCTATAAAGTACCCTTAGCAGTATAGGGCCCCGAACCACGGGACCCACTTTCCACCGCCTAGATCCACAGTCATACACCCAAAGACTCCCATATCCCTTAATTTGAGCAATATCTAGGGTTCCTTTAAGGGTTCCTTTAAAGTGATCTACAGGGGTTTCCTCCAAAGGGGTCTGGGTTTGTTAGTATGATGTCCTTCTGAAGCTTCGCAGTCGACTGTTCCGTTTTGTTCTGTTGCGCGACTGGCTTCGAGGTGAGCCCTAAACCCTAAACCCGCAACCCTAAAGCCTAAACCTAAACCCTAAACCCTGAACCCTAAACCGAGCCCTAAGCCCTAAACCCGCAACCCTAAACCCTAAACCAGGAGCCAGGTAGTTCAGGGTTTTTAGCCTGGAGTAGATGCTGCGGGCCTGGAGCAGTCTAGGAAGCATGGAGAAATTGAAGAACGTTTAACCCCAAACTCCCCTAAACCCTAAACCGATGCATGGGCTTGAAAAGCCATGAAGGATGCAGAGCAAAAGCATGTGACCCTGAGTCTGAGAAAGTCCGGCAAGGATTCGGCAAGGATGATGGAAACACTCATCCCAAGCCTGAACTTCTAATGTATGGGCCTTAATAGTTAGAATAGGGTTTGAGGGGTTCAATTTTCATAATTGCAATTTAATATGCCCCCAAACCCTGTTCCAATTACTAAGGCCCCTACATTCCATCTTGTATGGCACTCTGAAAACAACCTGCAGGATCACTACAGCAGATTTATGCACCCTTGCTGAAACTCCTCAAACCAATGCTGAAACCCTAAAACCCCCAAACCCTAAACCCCTAAACCCTGGAACCCGTAAACCCTTGAACCCTAAGCCCTAAGCCCGAAATCCTATAGATCCCTTAAAGGAGCCCTTATAGGCCCTTTAAAGGAACACCCCCAAAATCCTATAGGACCTCCTACCCTGACCGCTTAAAGCCTAAGCCCTGGACCCCAAACCCTACTTGGAGGATCATGGGACTTAGTAAGTAGGGTTATAAGTGCCTTAATTGGGGTTATAAGTACTTTTGAGTATAGTTACCTTATTTATAACCTCACTTACGAAGTCTCATGATCCTCCAAGTAGCCCCTAAACCCTAAACCCTATAGATCCCTTTAAGGAACCCCCCATAGGTCCCTTTAAGGAGCCCTTTTAAGGAAAACCACTTACTTAGTCCCATGATCCTTTAAGTAACCAACCCTTCACCCCAAACCCCAAACCCCTAAACCCCCAAACCCCAAACCCTAAGCCCTAAGCCCTAAGCCCTAAACCCCAAACCCTAAACCCCTAAACCCCAAACCCCTGAACCCCTAAACCCTAAACCCCTAAACCCCAAACCCTAACCCAAGGCGACGGTTTGGTTTGCTCTTCACCGCGCTTCAGCCCCGCTACTACCTGTGGTTCGCCTTGGAAGGCAGGCTGCTTCAGAGTGTAGGGTCTAGTTCCTTTGAAGGGTCCTTTAAGGGATCTATAGGATTTAGAGTTTAGGGCTTAGGGTTTAGGTGGCTGGAAGGGTTCGATAAGGATCATTCAGGTGATAGGGGTTTACGGTTTTGGGGGGTAATTAGGGGCTCGGGGTTGAGGGCTTCGGAAGAACTGCCCAAGGTCATGTTGCAACCAGTGGCTCCTTCATTTCGACAACATAGGGGCCTAAACAACTACCAATACTATTTCGGTGGCTCCTTACTACAATTATAGTATGATATACCACAAAATTCCATTCTAATTATAAAGGTCCGCATATTATGGGAGCAGGGGCACCTTACTTCTTGCTGATGATTAAGGCCCGTCACCCGAACAAGACTCCCGATGCAACAGATCCTTGAGCCCGTAAGCCACTAAACCCCCCCCCAAAACTCCGCAAATCAGCTTAATCCTCGTAATCCCTCAGCTGATTACTGTAAACCCCTGTGCACCCTCGAAAAATCTCAAAGCCCCTCAAATACTCAGAAGCCCTAACCCCTAAACCCTAAAACCCCTAAACGTCGACAAGATCTTCTGAGTGCTTTCTTATAAAGTAGGGTGGTTGCCTACTACAAGGCAACCTGCTCGCCCAAATCGGGCTCTCGCGAGGTGTTATGCAGACCGAAAAGGAGCCCTTAATAAAACTCTTAAACCCTAAATCTGAACCTTGAACCCTGTTGCCCCTAAACCCTAAACCCCTAAATTATAAGCCCGCAATCCCCGCGTCGCCGAGGGTCGGCGCTGTTCGTCTTAGCTGGGGCCGTCCCTGTGATCGATACCGTCTCTGGGATCATCCTGCCCCTCGGCTAGGAAAGGTTTAGGGTTTAGGGTTTAGGATTTGGGGTTTAGGGGTTTAGGGGTTTAGGGTTTTAGGGGTTTAGGGTTGAGAGGTTTAGGGTTGAGGGGTTTAGGGGTTTAGGGGTTTAGGGTTGATAGTTTAGGGGTTTAGGGTTAAGGGTTGAGGAACAAACTGGGTCGTCAGGTTCCTGAATGGTACCTTTTTTTGCCTTTTGTTTTTTGCTTTGGGGTCTCCTTATCAAAGCCGAACGAATAGTAGGACAAAGGACAAAGGGCCCATCAGGAACCTAGGTTTTAAACAAAGGATAGCTAGGATAACGATATCCTCACGGCATGCACAAAAAAAGGGCCTCTTAGTCTTCAGAACCTCAAGCAACTCCCACCCGCACGGCCCTTATATGATTAAACAGCGCATCTGGCGAACCTCAAAGGAGACTCCTGACTGCTGAGCTTCGCAGCAGAGACTAACTAGGTTCCTGGGTAGTAGCCCCTGTTGCTCCTTCTAGTTTGGGGTTCCTTAAAGGGATCTATAGGGTTTAGGGTGTAGGGTCGCCAGATTCGAGCCAAATAGTATGGGAAAAGGGTACCCGAATTTTGAAGGGAACCAGCTGATCAGTCGATGCAGGCTCTTTTGCCCTCGTGCCACCATGGGTTCAACCCCTAAGCCCCAAACCCAAACCCTACCCAGACCTGCCAAAATCCCTCAATTAAGGAATAGACCTTACTGTCATATGAGGGATCCTATTTCAATTTAAGGTATATTCCTTCATTAAGGCATTTTGGAGTCTCTGGGTAGACTGCACGGCCTGGTAATCAGGATCCTCGCCAATCAAATCTTCATGCGGGCTCTCTACGCCGTCACCACGCCATTCTGGACCGTGAATCGCCAGGCTCTACGGAAGACGATCCTTTGCTGGGTTTATATAGGGGACTTAATCATTAGAATAGGGTTTTGGGGCCCATTATGCTATAAGTTAAATAAGGAACCCCCAAAATAGCATTGGTAATTATTTAGGCCCCTATAGTTGGTGTCCGTTTGGGTTTTTGTGTAAACCCTAAGCCCTAAACCCTAAAATGCCTAAACCCTAAACCCTTAAAAAGGAGCTTTAAAAAGCCCTAAACCCTGAGTGTGCAGCCCGGCTGAGCGAGCTCAGTGCCGCCAAGGAAGCAGCGCGTCTCCTCCTGCGTGATCTTCGCAGCTTTGTCATCGTTGGGCAACATGTTACATCTTTATGAGTACTTAAACCCAATAAGGAATAAGATTTCAAAGTTTTAATCCTATCCCAACCATGAACTAGGCAGCAACCATGTGTGCTCTGGATGCTGGGCGCAAGAGATTTAGGGTGTTTTGGGTTGAGGGCTTTTTTGGTTTCTTTTGGCGCGTAGAAAGTTACTTGGAGGATCACGGGACTTAGTTAGTAAGGCTATAAGTAAGGTAACCATTCTTATAGTTACTTATAACCCCAATTGAGGTACGTATAACCTTACTTACTAAGTTCCATGATCCTCCAAGTAGACCCTAAACCCTAAACCCTATAGATCCCTGTAAGGAACCCTATGAATCCCTCTAAGGCGTCCCTATAAGGAACATTTAGGGGATTGGGTTTGGGGGATGATGTGTTTGCCTGTTGCAGTAGGGCGCGAAGCTGATGGGGCCTTTCGAGGCACTGTGCAGTATTGAAAGGCTTGAGGCTCAACTGCTCGGCGCGGTCTCATCTCGGTTCAGCAGGGTTTGGAGTTTGGGGTTTGGGGGTTTAGGGGACAGGGTTTAGGGTTTAGGGGTTTGGGTTTAGAGTTTTGGGTTTAGAGTTTACGGTCTTGGAGGATGTGTTGGGCTTGTGGTCTAAGCCAACCTCGGACCTGGGACAGCCCTGTGACACTAGTCGGGCTTGGCGTGACACTGCTTCCAGAAGCAAGTAGTGCCACCTCTACGAACGAGTCCGTTCTCGGGTCTAGAAGAAGACTCCGGCGGCCGGTTTGAAGCCGCAATATATGGCCTTAATGGTTACCTATACTTTTTTTTGGGGGGTTCCTTATGATAATTATAGTAGAATATACCCCAAAACCGTATTCTAATTATTAAGACCCCTATACTAGACCTTCATACTGCCCCTTATAGTAACCCTTAAAGTTTAAAGGTCCTTTTCTAAGTTAAGGTCCTCAAATTTTATCCGCCAATACAGAATGCCGGCACCCGAAGCCTTACCTTCCTATATCCTTGAAGTGGGACAGGAGTGTCTGGCAGCGTAAATGAGAGCCAGGAAAAGATGTAGTTTTGTAGTGATGCTTGTGTTTAGGATTATGACTACTGTCATGATGATGATGTTCTAGGCTCCGAGGAGTACCCTTTTGCGCCTTTTTTCTGGGTCCCCTCATTAAAACCCGAATAGCAGGAAAAAGGGTACCCTGATTATAACGGGGCTATTCACCTAATGATGATGATGTTTACTCGAGTTGCTGTCCATTGCTCTTGTTCTTGTTTGCACGGGTGGTGATGCGCTTTTTACCTAAGCCCTAAACCCCTAAACCCTAAAAGTCCTAAACCCTAAACCCTAAACCCCTCAGGGATGTTTGAAGCGTACTTGAGGGTCGCTTGTTCTTACTGTGTAGGCCTCGATGAGGCAGGCCGACGCTGCACAACAGAAAAGGCCGTTGCACCTTAAAAACAAAAAACCCTGAACCCTAAACCCCTAAACCCCTGAACCCTAAACCCTAAAAACCCCAAACCTCTATACCCTAAACCCTAAAAGCCCCAAACCCTAAACCCTAACAGTGGTTTTCGAGAGCGAAGGGCAGCATCTTCGAGCAGTGGCTGCAAGCCGTGCTGCAAGCCGGTACTGTGGGGCTGGCTATTCTCGATGCGCCGCTTGGCTATCCTACCCAGAGACTCCAACATCCCCTTATTAAGGGATATACTTTACGTTATAGTAGGATCCCTAGTATGATTTAAGGAATATTCCCTGAGCAAGGGATATTGGAGTCTTTGGGTAGGTAGCATTAAACGGGGATCTCTACTTCTGGCTTTCTTACAAGGGTGACCTTATTGAAGGGGTCTATATCCTCAAAAGGTTCCCCTTCATCCTAGCTCCTTGGCCTAGTCTTGGGGGTTGTTTGGGGTTCTACGGGAACTCACAGGCTTCAATAGGAGGGTTAACCCTAAACCCTAATCTCCGAATCGCGCCCTAACTCTAAGCTCTATAAACAAAAGCCCTAAACCCTACAAACAAAAGCCCTAAGCCCTAAACTCTAACAGCAAAAACCCTAAACCCTACAAGCAAGAGCTGTGCACAAAAGCCCTAAGCCCTAAACTCCGAAAGCAAAAACGCACTGGCTGGGCTTGGAGCCGTCTGTCAGGTCCTACGCGCGAAATCAGTTGGATGAGCACGAGCTCATGGAGGGGATGGTGGATATCACACTGTTTGCGTCGGAGATCTATGTGGTCGTCATGTGCATCTGGAAGATTTTCTACAACAGCGTCTTGCCTGAACTCTGAACCATGAACTGCAGAGCCTGGCAGTCAGTTTTGTTGTGGTAACGAAGCAATTACCTTGTAGTAGCTCTTATAGTAGTTAGTCCTGTGCAGAAGCTTGGTGGTGGCAACCATATAACACCAATTTTGGTAACCTTGTACGATCTGTTAGTAATGTTTGGAACCTTGTAGTAAACCAATGGCTCTGAAAGTATCCTAAACCCTAGACCCGCCGTGAACATCTCTTCTGAGCTACACAGCATGAGAAGAGTGTCTCATGAGGGTCTTTTCTTTGTTCTTCGAGCTGAGCCGTACGTACAGTGCAATCTCAAGCTGAGCAAGCCTTCTGCGGAGAAAGCAGGCCAGTGCACTAAACAAAAAAACTAAACCCTAAACCCCAAACCCCTGAACCCCAAACCCCCTGGAAACTCTAAACCCCTGAACCCCAAAACCCCTAAAAACCCCGAACCCGAAAGCCCTAAACACCAAACAGCCCTAAACCCTAAACCCCGAAAGCCCTAAAACCCTAAACCTCTAGAAACCCTAAACCCCTAAAAACCCTAAACCCCTGAACCCCAAACCCCCAAAGCCCTAAACCCCCTAGAAACCCTAAACCCCTAGAAACCCTAAACCCTAAAGCCCTAAATCCCTAAAATCCCTATCCTCTAGAAACCCCAAACCCCTAAAGCCCTAAACCCCTAAGAACCCTAAACCCTTAAACCGCGCAAAAATGCCCTCAGAATTCGCCTTTACCTGGGCTGTGGACGAGCTGACGGGCTCCCCGATGCGTCCGGGCATCAGGACTGGAGCTGTACTTGGAGGGCCAGGGGACTTAGTAAGTCGTTTATAAGTTATAGTTGGGGTAACTCCATTTAAGGTACTTATAACTCTACTTATAATTATAACCTACGTCGACTTAGTAAGTAAGGCCATAAATAAGGTAACTATACTTATAGCTACTTATACCCCCAGTTGAGGTACTTATAACCTTGCTTACTAAGTCCCAGGATCCTCCACGTTGTAGGGTTTTGGGGGTTGAAGGTTTAGGGTTTTGGGAATTCTAGGCGTTGAGGGTTTAGGGTTTTAGGGGTTAAAGGGTTTAGGGGTTTCGGGTTTAGGATAGAGCTGAGCGTGATGAGCTTAAGTAGTTCTGGTGATCTAGGGGTAGAGGTGCTTGGGTGTCTGTTTCGATCAGCCTTCTCTTTCCCATTGCTCCGCTTCTGCGGGTATCAGGGTAGCCGACGAGACAGGCGACGCTGACCTTCTGAGCTTTTTTTCAGGTGTAATGCAGGAAGCTGATTAAGAAACTTTGGGCCTTTATTAGGGTTCCTTATATGAACCCTACTATTTCGGGGTTAGAGGCCCAGGGTTTCTTAATCAGGTTCCTACATTAGGCACACTGCGCGCTGCTACACGTGCACGATGCAGCATGGCAGGTCTGGCTTAGGTTGCTCCAGACTCAGCAGACATACAAGTTGCAGCACTTCGTAGCTGAGTAGATACACTTTACACTTTTCGGGATAATATTACCCACTATGAAACTGAAAGTGTACACCTTTCGGGGCTGATGAACTCAGCAACTAAGACCAGATTCCGACCCTCCCGCCACCAAACTTGCGCACACAGGAAGTTTATCCACCTGCTGCGACTCACTTTTAGCCTGAGAAGCTGCTCGACTTGCAGCGAGACAGGTTTTCGCCACGGCAGCCTAGATAACTTTGCGTGGACCCAGAGAGCCCAATACCCCTCAATTAAGGAATTGTAGCTTAAATCATAATATGAAGCCCCTTATAATTTAAGCCAGATTCCTTAATGAAGGAGCATTGGGCTCTCTGAAAATTCCTCACTTGATGCAGGGGGTGTCCTTAGATGAAGCTAGCGACCGCTCCACTCTCATGTCGACACCTCCGTCAGTGCCAGACAAAGCCGAAATCATGACGCCTGCGAAGTCACCACACACCCGGAGAGCCCAATACTCCTTAATTAAGGAATATGGCTTAAGTTATAAGGGGCTTCATACTATGATCTAAGCTATATTCCTTCATTAAGGGGTATTGTGCTCTCTGGGCACCGATAAGCAGTGAAATCGTTGGACCCGAGCTAAATCTTAAGCCCCTCGCCAAACCCGAAACCCCAAAGCCTGAACAAAACCAAAAAATGTGTGCCCCTTATCCTGAGTCCGGTCCAAACCCACTTCGTCTGCACAGCTGAGCCTGTAGGGTTAGATCAGTGGACTCCAGAATTTCGGAATCTGTGGCAAGAGCGGGAACATCAAGTAAGAACAGCAGAACACCCTGGAGAACTTGGTCGCCCAAAGATCCCAATACCCCTTGATTAGGGATTATACCTAAAGTTTGCAGCTGTAATGATTTAAGGGATTTTCCTTCGTTAAGGGAACCCTAATATAGTTCTCCAAATATTAGGATCCTTATTATAAGGACCCCCAAAATAAGGTACCCCTAATTTTCGGAAACTCCCACATGTACTATCCTCGGAAGCTCTAGGAGGTCTGTAGTAAGAGGTATTGGGATCGCTGGGCGTCACCCCCAGCTTGTCCAGATCCCTTTTAATTTCTGAGGGCAGAACAGGGCAGAGCCTCCTAAACCCGAAACCCCCCATTGCACTTAAACAAAAAACTTTTCTGCTCTGAAACAGAACCCCTAGGCCCAAGAAACCTCTAGCAGAACAGATAAACCCGCTCAGCCTCTTTCGTAACCCTCGGCTCATAGCAGAACAGGTTTAGGGTTTAGGACGTAGATTGGGGTAGGGTTCAGGGTTTGGGGTTTCAACCTAAACAACCATGGGAGCTCTGCAGTGGGTTTTTCTTTTATTTTCAGTATCCCATGACCC